CGCCGGCTTTTTCCCCTTCTTCGCTTTTTCTTCTTCAGCAAGTGCTTTTGCTTCTTCAGCACGTGCTTTTGCTTCTTCAGCACGCTTGGCCTTGCCTTGCAGCTGCTCGCGACGGGTAACCTTTGCGATCGATGCACATGTTGGTATGCATGTGTATCTGCGTGTGTGTATATATATATACACATGTGTACGTATTTTCTCACAAATGCATGACTCAGTCTATCTGTATATATATATATATATATCTAGATGTTTATTTAACTAGTTCTATATATATATATATATATATATCCATATACCTATATATATGTACTTAGAGGAATCGAGAATATCATGTTATTCGCATGGATACGATTTGTATAGCACCCTCTGATCCAGATACTTGCACAAACAGGGGTTCATGCATTTACAGTGTGCACTCAAACATACGAAGCCAAACGAAACAACGAAGTGAACACATCGGAGTTTCCCCCGTCGGAAATGGTTTCCAGTGTCGATCTGTCCCATGCGAAGAACTACCCGAACAAAAACGTCTGTATGTTGCATACAATGTGTTTCTTATAAGTTGCCTGAGACTCCCACCACAGGAAGGTCTGTCAAGTCCTCCAAAAGGAGAGACTCAACACTCTTGGCCAACTCCTGGGCTGCAGCGTCTAGCTCGTTCGAGCTGACGAGCTGGGTTTCGTCGCAGTCCAAAGGGAAGGCCTTCTCGATGTAGTTTGGCTCGCGGGATGCTCCTCATTCAAAAGTTAAACTTCCGATCGCACTAACCAAAATTATTTTGTAGAATGCACCGAGCAACACAACTGACCCGGCTATCTTGATCTGCATGTAGCTGCTCCTGCTTCGGGTGCTGTCGCGCTCGGGCTGGGGGGAGCAGGGTCTCGTGATCCACTTGATTTCGCACCTTCGGCCCACGTCCGCTGCAAGTTCTTGGCAGCCGTCCTGGGATGCATATGGGCACCAAGCAGCAGTACTATTCAGCGCACCCATGCATATATGCACATACATACATACATACATAGACCCGTGCATGCGAGTTGTTGGGCTCAAAATTAACAAAAAGTCGGATCACTGCACAACTAGTGGCCGAAGTGGCAACAATACATCCAAGCAGACTGCGACAACAGCCAAGCCCTATATACCCGCACACATATTCATTTCTATCTATCTCAAAGCCGATCGAAGGGTCCTTGCAGCAATCTGGGCTCTCACAGAAGCGATCTTCTGCTTGAGCTCGGTCAAGCGCTCGCAAGAACACTGCTCTGGCGGCTGGCCGCACGTACACGTCCAGCCCTTGGCATTCATCGGGACATCTGTATCCTTGCAGCTGCCGTCATCGTCACTCACATCAAGAATTTCTGAATCATCTTCCTCGCCACCACCAGAGCTATTCTCGAGACTCTCCATGGTCCCTTCATCGCTCTTTTGGCAGGGCTCCGCCCTGTCAGTGTCAGGAGTAGGCACAGGCTTCGCAGGTGAGTCGAGGACAACCAGGGTGTCCGGGCACGTGTCTGCCTTTGCATGTTCCTCATCGGGCACATCCAGGACTTTAGACTGGACATCCTTCTGGAGGTTGTTCCAGAAATCCTCGAAATCATTGCCCTCACCAGCTTCATCATCGGAGCCAACGGCCGCGCTCTCTGCGCTGCCACCCTCATCCGGATCATCGCCCCCGTCGCCGTCCGAGGGTGCCTGCGACTATGGAGTTAGTTAGTAACGTAGGTATATAGCCCGAATTATAAAACACATAGCCGCGAGTATTGCATGTCCATGTATAAATTCGACCGCTCTACCTAGAGAGAGACAGAGGGAGAGCGTGAGAGAGGGAGGAGACAAAACATGAGAGGGAAGAGCCTGATTCATGTTCTGAACAAACACGTAGATAATAGTACGCAGATGAAACCCTGTTGACAAGACGCATAATGAATTGGAACTCGTATACTGTAGTAACCCCGTGCACCTCCGAACCAGAACCGGCATCATCCTCGTCGTCCCCCAGAGCAGCAAACAGCTCTCTCAAGTTGGGGTCTCGAGGCTTCTGACCCCGCTGCTTCTTTCGTTTGATCAGGGCCGCAAACTTCTTTAGCAACCATGCATCGAGCTTCAAGGTCTTAGGGTCGAGCTTCGCTTGCTGCCCTCGGACTTCTTTCGAAAGCTTCACAAGCCTTGAATGCATGTATCAGGAGTTTGGCAACAGAGTACGACATGTATATCAGTACTGTAGATAAACCGAAAGCTTCCAGAAGCCCACTACAATCACTACAACCGGAGAAACAGCTACCCCTGTGAAACATAGTGCACGAAACCTTTTGTTGGGGCAGAACCAAGGTACTCTGCCTCAGCAGGGGCAATCTTGAAGAGTTTCGCTTGTGCCGCTTTCATGAGCTTCAGTGCTGGTAACAGCACATCCTTGTTGTGAACAGCCTCTTTGAGATTCACATTCGGAACTGCATCCGATCTTCCTGCGAAGGCACTCCCCGTGTCCCGCACCCTGCGCCGGATGCCTTGCACGGCCTCCCATGATTTTGCGAGCCCCAGCAACGAAACAGCTGCCATGCCAGGCTACAACCCTGTAACAGAACGAAGAAAAAGCTTCGACTTGATCCGGAAATCAGCAGAGCCCACCAAAATTGTAATCAGCTCTGGAAGCTCATGACAACAGCCTGATCAGTGGCCAAGCAAAACCCTCGCAATCCTGTCCGGCTGAGGTCTGAGCAGAGCTGCGGGATCTCGCTGATCCGCAAAAAGAGTCGCTGCAAGCCACAGCTGCTGGTGATTTCTAGCACTCATGACCTTTCCAGTACATAAGCCCTGTTAAAATTAGCCCCTTTTGAGAAACACGCCCCCTTTGCCGAATCACGCCCCCTTTGGCACAGAACCCGGTTCTTAATGTGAAAACCGGGTTATTTCAAAAGACCTTCCTTTTTGAGGGTCTTTCGGGGGCTAAGGTATACACCCCTAAACCCTGTAAACCTCGGAACTCCCACAAGCCCTCTCCGAGGTCCCTCGCCGCGCGGCTGAATGCGCGCAGCGTGGAGCTTGCTCCCGGGGATGTTTGCCGGGAGCTCGGCAGGGTATATGGGAGCTTCCGAAAGTTAGGGGTACCTTACTTTGGTGTCCTTGTACTAAGGACTCTACTATTTAGAGTACTATATTAGGGTCCCCTGTTTTCGGAAACTCCTTGCATCTAAGCGCTCGTGTGGCCCCCATTAAGAGCCCTACGAGGGCACCCTAAACTTCCTAAACCCTAAACGGCCAGAAACCCAACCCCTAAACCCTAAGCACATTACAAAGGCCTTTGTGGAAGGCTACCACTTACCGGGCTCCTTTGCTTGGGGCTTTCCTCAAAGTCCGGGCATCTGATCCTTGCAAGAACCGTTGGCTCCGTACTGGTTTAGGGCTTTAAGGTTTGGGGCCGTTATGTTTCCTGCGTGTTGCTCGCAGGCGCTCGTGTTTGTTCTTATTAGTCTTGGCACAACGGTTTAAGTTTAAGATTTGCGGACCTCGTCCCTGACAACCCGAATCCGTTACGTACCAAGCCGGCAGAGCCAGTACAAGCAATACAGGGATCAGAATATCGAGTAACTAAAGATTCTGATCCCTATATTGCTTGCTGTTGTAGCAATAGCTACTGCCGTTCTGCCGCCGATAGAGAAATTAATAAGTTCACGATAATCGACCTTCTAATCTAATTATTGAGGCCTTGATACTGGACCACTAGATTAGACGTCGTTCCATGTCTTTGCAATCTCTGCCGAGGTCTCAGCATGATGCCGCTGTACCACATTGCCGGAATTTCCGCGCCTTGGCACACGGCGACGATCGTAGCGATCCTTGTGCAATTTAGGGTTTAGGGTTTAGGGTTTGTGCAATTCTGCTCTTTAAGAGCGGAGGGCATTCCCATGGCATCGTAACACCCGACTCAACACCTACCCTCGGGAGCACCTAAGGGGGTTGACATTCATGCCACCTGAACCGTCCATTGTTTCATTCGGCCTCTATCCCTATTGCATAGAGCCTCGACTTGAACACGAGACCGGAAACACAACCGCCAACGAATGCACTGCTTGCCTGGAGGTCCAAAACCCTACTGCTTCAAGCGTGGTACCCTATAGGCAATGGATCAGAACCTACATTGATTTACAGGGAAAGACTGGAAGTTCCATGTCGTGCTTTTGAACTTTGTGCTGGGAGCTGACAGATCCTATAGGGATCAAAATAGCCCCAAAGCCTTATATAGTATGGTCTTTGGGCCCAAAAGACTTAATATATGAATCCTTAGATCCCTAGAAAAACGAGTTGCCAACTAGAACGACCGAGTTCTTTGCAGGGAGTTCAGGCTGTCAGGAGCCTATGTATAGTACCTAGCTGCTTGACTTACCTTTGGTTAGTAGGGAATGGAAGAGTGGTAGTAATACAGTAGTAGTTGTAATTGTACCCCATCCCTCCATTCCCTACTAACCAAAGGTAAGTTGAACCATGAGTACTACGGCCCCTATGGGTTCGCTATTGTTGTAGTCATGGCCCGTTATAGCAAGCAAAAGCAGCTCGTTTTATTGTTTAGGGAGTTAAAGGGTCAGCGGGGCGGGTGGGGAAGAGAACAGTCGTTGTCTCAGTATCTAGCACTACCTACCTGAAGACGCAAACCTCCATGTTCCCAGGACTTAGTAGTCGTGCAAGTAGCCTTCAACAGTGTAGTTTTTGGGGCGATATGCTTTATAATTTTTATACAATGCTGGACAACTAATACTAAAGCCCCTTTAGTCCGATCTCCGGAAGCCTATGAAGACATCGAGCCTAGGCAGCCGAGTATCAGAAAAAATAATGGGAACTGCAGGGTTTTCTTTACGGTGCAGGGTTCAGGGTTTGCATTCATCGGTTTAATTCAGGAAACAGCAGAACTGCCAGTAGAGATGCTTAGCTTGTGAGTTAGAGATCGAGATTCCCGTTGTTATACGTAGCTTCAATCTGTGCATAATTGTCCCAAATTGAAGAGAATGGGCCTTCAGTCAAAGGTGAACTTTCTTGCCTCGCTGTCCGCTGGCGCGACTGTCCTTTTCTACTCAGGTCAGTTTGAGGTGCGACTCGCCGAATGCTAAAAGGACCCTAAACCCTACGGTCTCGTTTAGGTCCTGCCCTAAACCGTATTTGAGGTCTGCGAGGCTTCTGAGTACTGGCTGCTGCATACTGGGGCTACTAGGGCTTGAGGGCTTCAGCGTTTAGGGTTTGGCTTTGAGGAGGGTCTGGTTCGGTTTGAAGCCGAGCTGTGTCGATGGGCATATTGAAGATTTTAAAGTCACAGAACCCAAAGCCCTAGATTTGCTTCGTGTTGTTGGGCAATATGCTTTCAAGCTCCGCACTACACATATGTCTCACCAGCAACCTTTAGACCCAAAGGGTCCAGGTGTCATTATGATATATACTTACAGGGTATTTCGGGGGTCTAAGTATTTTCCATTATTCTGGCACCCATTGGGAGAATTCAGAATCTAACTCCCTAGACCGAACAACCTCAGACCCAACCCTCCTACCGTGACATCCTGATACGAAAGACTTCCCTCAACCCCCATTAAATCTGAATGAACCCACGACGCACGAATAGTCCTCAACCGTAAGAAATCCCGAGCCCCCAAAAAATCCCTAAACCCTGAACAAACAAAACACCTTTGGAGTCCTAAAGCCCCCAACACTTGTCCAGACCGCACTGTTAAGGACGCGCTTCGTCGCTGAGCTGGAGCGTGAGGACCACCTCAGGCCTTCGTTTCAGGGCTTCAGGGTTGAAGAAGGAGTGAGGAGTATAGGGTCCAGAGATTAACTAGGTTTCGGGTTTTGCCCCGGGTTAAGGAGTGTAGGGTCTAGAATTTAACTAGGTTTCGGGTTTTGCTCGGGGTTTCCGGTTTTCTGTCAGGGTGTTTCTGGAGGTTGCGGTTTTCAGGTTTGGGGTAGTCACGGACTAGGGCTTTCGGGATTTGGGGTTCTTAGGCGGGTTTTTGGCTCAGGACTCTGGACAGTTCAGAATTTGGGCTTTGGTGGAGTATGCAGTGAGGTTTTAGAAGCCTCGAGAAATAGCAACATTATGCTGCAGGGTTCCTTATTACAGCTGTGATATGTCAATATGTTACAGCAAAGCCCTATTCTAGTTTTGAGGCCCCCGCAGTATTTGGCATTACATGTATAGAACACGCGCAAAGAAAGTCGCTGGGATCACCATGCCTGATAAGGCAGACCCCGTTGAATACCACAAAACCCTACCCTATTCAGAAGGCCCCTCCTTGTATATAGTAACTCGCGTATCTGTACATGTAAGCCGTATAATTAAGAACGAGCGCGATAAACGTCGCTGTGACCAGTATGCTTGCTGAGAAGGTCGACCTCCGTTGAAGAACCCCCCTTCAATGTGGGTCATTATAGGGGTCCTGAAGCCCTTAAGGAATGGGTGTTTCGGCACCAGGGTCTGCACCATCTGAAGTACGTAACTTTTGTAGTTTTTTGGCAACATCATCACTTCTATATCCCACAGCTCAGCCCTTATAATAGTTACATTAAACCTCTCAACCCCAAAAAACCCGACGCCGGGCTCGGGTGGTCGCGCCTCGAGGCGCAGGGCCAGAGACGCCTCCACTTCCCCAGAGATCCTAGTACCCCTTAATTATAAGGATAAGATGCCTTAAATCATCATATTCAGGCTAAGGGGTATTGGGATCTCTGGGTACTTCGTCCTGGTCCAGATGGAGCGCGCCCCAACGTCGATGCAGTCTGGCTCCGGCGGCACCCATTCGCAGAGATGGCCACGCGCGTACGACGTTCAGCGCCGTCGGACGTCCCCAGCCGCTGATGTTCAGGGGGCCGCCCAGACGGGATCCGCAGTAGCGCTGTGGATGTTACAGTGGCAACCCTAAAACCCAACCCTAAACCCCAAACCCCAAAACCATCCTAAACACCAAACCCTGAACCCTAAACCCCCAACCATCCTGAAGCCCTAAACCCTAAACCCCCAACCATGCGGGCTTCGTCCTTGCCAAGGAGGGAAAAAACAACCATCCTAAATCCTACCTTAACCCTGAAGAACCTACCTTTTTAGGGTTCCCTATTATGATTTCCTTATATAAGTCCTTAAAAAGGTAGGTTCTTCAGGGTTAAGGTAAGTCCTAGCCCATTGGTCACAGCGTAGCATCCTGGAACCCTGCGGTTCGAACTCCGAAACCCAGGGCTTAATAACTACCATAGGGTTCCTTTCAAAAGGGGTCTATATAAGGGTTACTATAAGGGGTGCTATAAGGGCACTATGATATAGGGGCCTTATAAGAATTATCTATACCATTTCGGGGGCTTCTTGTTATAACTGTGGCATAATGGGCCCTACCGGGAATCCGTTCATGGCGGAGTATCACAGGTTTTGGAGTTAGGGTTTAGGGCTTTAGGGCTGTTCCCCGGCAAGACTTCAAGAGGCCTGGATGCAAAAGGGTAAGGCCTGGATGCAAAAAGGTTTTATTCAGGGCAAAGGTTGACCTAATAAACGCCCTAATAGACCCCAAACCTTGGCTTATCTGGGAGCAGAAAGTCTCACAGGTTCGGAAAGTAGTGCATTCTGAGCCGCTCGATAGAGGGCCCTGAACCCTGTCAACCCTAGACTTACACCACAGATCCTGAACCCTCGAACCTTAGCTCATCTTAGCTCCTTATCTGGGTTCCTACTAGGCCCAGTTGGTACTTCGCCGTACCGGCTGTGCACGAAGCGGTGCTGCGGCATGCTGACGAACTGGGCTGGGAACCCCAGAAACGATTGGTGAGCAAAGCATTATTGTTTCAATTGGCACCATTGGGTTTTGAGGGGTGTTGCTGCGTCCTTGTTTCTGTAGGTCTCAGAAGGGAGATATAAGGCCAGACCTGAAAACAGATATCGACTGCGAGGGTCCCGCCTTGAATTTAAAGCCTTAAAAGTGCACCATGGCTTTGCTGGGATCTACCGAGACTTCCGGGCTCGACCTCTAAACTTCTGTCAAACAGGTTTTGCTGTCCCCACTACATGTTAGCTCTTCTGGTTTTAGGCGGTGCCCCATCTAAGACAGGTGTCTGATTGGATCTCCGCATAATCGTGTTGAATCTGCCGTTGAATTGAATCCGAAGCACAAGATCAGTGAGGTCGCCCCCTTCGGCATCGACTGACTCTGGGCCACATCGTCTCTGTAGAGCTTGTTAAGTATGGGGTTTCGCATGTGAAGTGTGCGAAGTTTGTGCCGGAGGGATCACTGTGTCCTAGTAGTAGAGTAGGTAGCCTGTAACCTTTTTTGGGAAGTATAGCCCATATATAGTCCCTATATACCCAAAAAGGTTAACCTCTAGTTCCCCATGATACCCGACAAGTAGGCTTTGGTGCTGTTGGATCAATTCCCAGCCGGTGAGAAAGAACGGTTGCCTTGCGCCCGATACCCCATATGCCACAGCACTGGCACTCGACACCTTTACGAAGACCAGCGGCCTACACCCTAACCGCTAAACAGCTTGGCGTTTAGGGAGGCCTTAACCGAAAGAACCAGGCGCACTCCTACGACTAAGCTCGGGGGACTTAGGTAAGTAGGTTGCAAGTACAGTTAAAGTTTGTATATAGTGGAGTAAGTAAAACATGTAACCTTTCTGCGGTGCTATAACCTTTGTATAATTCTGAGGATTACTTTGGATGTTTTTGTGAGGCTGGACGAGTAAGCATTAGTACGTTGATTGGTGACACTGTTTACCGCACTTTTAACCGTATTCGTGGGCTACCTACTTACGAAGTCGCCTGATCCTGTAAGTGCAAGGAAGCTGATCCGTTCCGCGGGGGCGGCCTTGGCGCAGCCCAGTGGACGCAAACTGATCGTGCCCGGGCTCGTCGATAGGGTTTTGGGTTTAGCATTCAACAGTTAGGTTCTGTTTCGGGCCTTGCGCGTCTAGGCTTTTCTCGGTTTTTGTTTGTCGGGTCCGTGTTTAATTGTTAGTTGCCGAAGGCATTTACTTCGTGGCCTATATGGGCTTCAGGGAGCGGTATGCTACTTAATCATATGGGTGGCTATCTAAAGTAGGATCCCAGTTGAAATCCTTACATGAGGGTGCCGTACTATTTTGGGTACCTAGAAAAGGGACCCTAGTTTAAAGAACTTATCAGACTCTGGCATGTTCACACTGGCCCTTCGGGACTTCAGAGGCATGTTAACCTCTTGGTCCTGTGGCTAAGACTTTGGGTTTGGGGGTGAGCTTTGCCCAAGGGGTCCAAGATAAGTAGGGTATTTTGGGGGTCTAAGTATATACTGTACTGCTACTTGGACCCTTTGGGTTGAGTGCTTATAAGAATATGCCCGTGCTCCTGTTGCTTTAGATCGCATGGGCACGCGCTTTGGCTCCTATGGGGCTTTGAGGATGAGCTTGGTGGGCGTCCGTACACGGCAGGGATCGTACAAAAAAGTATGTACGTGTGTGTGTGTGTGTGTGTGTCGCACGCATGTCTGTAAGTGTGTGTGTGTGTAGTAATGTGTATGTGAGTATGTGTGTGTGTGTGTGTCTGCATGCATGCATGTATGGATGTGCATGTGTTTATGCATGTATGTATGTATGTATGTATGCATCTGTGTGTGTGTGTATGAAAATGCATGTACGTAGGTTCTGATCCACACATACATACATAAATGCATACATACATATACAAGCAGACATATGTACTTGCACAGACACACATACATACACGCAAAGAGACCTACAAGCACTCATTCATACCTACATACCTATCTACTTACGTACCTGCGTATGCCGCATGCATACCTATGTACTAACACACCTGTGCACGCAGGCCTTGATACAGACAAATGTACATACATAAACATGCGTGCATACACTACATACACCGCAACACGCCATGTACACACGTTTATAATTATCTGTACATATTTCTTTTGGATTTGTACTTGTGTTTATCGGTTCGTTTGTATATACATTTTTCAAAAGACATGTCGTCACTGTCGGCTCCAGACGGATCCATTCATGCACATGCCGATGATTCCTTCGGTTCAAATCTGACTGCAATCATGGCTGGCGATGGGGTCCACATTTGGTGGTTGGCAGTGGGTGCATGAGGTGCTGTTATTTAGAGCTTTGAATTTTTGTTGCGTGGGGCTGTCTCATTAACAACTCTAGTTGCGGTCTTGGGCTCCTTATAATTACAGGCTATGCAATACTAAAATGGGAGCTCTTGCAAAATTCCTAGGTTACTAGAGGGCCCAGAGACCTGACATCTTGTAACTCAGTAGCACGTAAGTCTCCGCGTGCCGCAGATCATCAAGATCCTCTACCACTCCCAGCAATGAAGGTGTAAAGCCCTGTCGAAGTTCTACCAAGACCAGCTTGGTTTTGCATTTTAAAGATCCCTACAGAACCTGGTTAATCCAACCAGTTAGAGCCCATATGGGAGTTTCCGAAAATAGGGGACCCTAATATAGTACCCTAAATAGTAGGATCCTTCTTATAAGGACCCCTGAATAAGGTACCCTAATTTTCGGAAACTCCCATATCAGGAGACTTTCCGCTGCGCAGTGACCCCGGCGTATGGCATGACTGAGGCAGGGGCAGCGGGATTATATACTAGGATGCCCAGTAGTACCCTTATTCCCTTTTTGTAGTCCTAGGTTCCTTATAAAGTTACCCAATACCAAAAAGAGAGGCCTTTTTATTCTTAGGTTACAGGGTATCCTAGTATAGCTTCGGGGTTTAAACTTCAGCAGTGGAGTGCCCTGGGCCCTGGGTGAACCGGGATTAGGGTTTCGGGTTTAGGTAGAGCGCTCATGACAGGACCTACCTTAACCCTGAAGAACCTACCTTTTTAGGGTTCCCTATTGTGATTTCCTTATATAAGTCCTTAAAAAGGTAGGTTCTTCAGGGTTAAGGTAGGGCTAAGGCTTGTGGGCTTTGGGCATGAGGAATTTGTTGAGTTTGGAGCTCCAGGGTCAACGGTGCAAAAGTCATGCCGCGATATTATGTGATGCTCAGTGCTATGCTTAGCAGCCTTAACTTCTCTTCCAGTAGAGATGTAAGTCGCATATGCTATTTTCCAGAAGTGGGAAGTTGTCGTAGTTGCTGGTGTAGTGTAGCTGTAGTTGTATTGAGTCTTGTAGTTGTCTTCCTACATGTTGTTGTTGTGGCGGTGGTGTTGGTGGCTGCTGCTGCTGCTGCTGCTGCTGCTGATGCTGCCGCTGCTGCTGCTGCTGTTGTTGCTGAAGCTGTTGCCGTTGCTGCTGCAGTTGTGGCTGTGGCCGTGGCTGTTGCTGTTGCTTCTTGTTGCGTGTTGCTTCTGCCTTGTTGCTTGTTGTTTGTTCTTTGGTTGTTATTTGTTTTTTTTTTTTTTTTGTGGTTGTGGTTGTGGTTGTTGTTGTTGTTGTTGTTGTTGTTGTTGTTGTTGTTGTTGTTGTTGTTGTTGTTGTTGTTGTTGTTGTTGTTGTTGTTGTTGTGGGTGGTGTTTTTTTGGTGCTGTTGGTGGTGTTGATCTTGTTCGTGGCGGCGGGGGTGGGGGCGGGGGCTTTCGCGGTGTGGTGGTGGTGGTGGTGGTGGTGGTGGTGGTGGTGGTGGTGGTGGTGGTGGTGGTGGTGGTGGTGGTGGTGGTGGTTGTGGTGGTGGTGCTGGTATCATGTGAATTAGTGCTTGTTCAGCTTTTAGTGAACTAGTTTAGAAGTTTTCGTTCGATAGTGCGATGCCCCAAGCCCCAAATGTTCAACTTCTTGCCAACTTTCGTGTCAACCCGACTTTCGCTGCACCCAGGCGTTGGAGATCACATGTCCACCGGTCGACTACGATTTCTCCAAACCGGGATCCGTGGGTCCAAGCATCAGTGCCGGATCTCAGTCAGAGTCTTTGGGTTCGTGGCTCTATGTTTTTTCGTGGCTGTACTTGGAGGGTCTTTGGACTTAGTAACTGGTTATTTTACGGATTTATAAGTACCATAACCCCAATTAGGGTCCCTTTTAGGGTACTTATCAGTCTACTTACTACCTTCTTCCTTAGTCCCCCGACCCTCCAAGTAGGTTCTTGAGAGGTCATTGCGCGCCCTGCCGTGTACTTGGGTCATTTTTGCCCGGTTGCCCTCACAGCCTTGCACCTCGAAGTATCGTTTACGGTTTAATTGCACGAGTACCTGTGCAGCTGAAAAGCTGAACGTTCTAATTAGGGTTCTGGATGATTTTTTGGGGTGGGCATAGCGCATGGATTTAAGGCCGTTGGTGCTTTGTCGTTTTGCTGAGAGAGGATATCACTGCTTCACATTGTGTGTGTACTGTTTTCGTTGTGCATCGGGACCTGGGGGTTTGGAGCCCTACTGCAAAGCCTGTCTTTTTGTTGCTAACATGTTCAAGGGCCACCTATACATGACACAAGAGAAGAGGGTGAGGCGTACAACCAAGCATGTTCGTCTTTTGGGTAAACGACGCTATCAGTCCTGCCTTGCATTCGGAGCTAGGATTTGCGCACCTACACCTACCCAAGCGTCCCACTCGATCCTGAGTCTGAAGCCTTTGTACAGGGTTTAGTGTCAGTTTATCAAGATGGATGTTCAGAATTCTTATTGCGGCTCCTTGGTCGTTTATCAAGCCCGTCATGCCGCTCAACTTTAAGCTAACCCATGCCGAATGTAACGTCGCTCACGAATGTCGCAGTTCATCCAGATGTTATCGAAGCTCTATTATAGTTGAGCACTCCCACATCTTGGAGACATCCTGCAGGGAGCCAAATGGGAGTTTTAGGGGTACCCTAATTTTGGCTTCTTTATAATAAGCATCCTACTATGTAAGGTGTTTTATCAGGGTTCCCCGGTTTCGGTAACCTCCAAGGTTGGAACTATCGTCTCCTTAGGAGTTTTCATTTTTGTCCTTATCAAACACAAGAGAATATTAAGCATCTTGTTGTTGATATGGTTCTAAGGGGGGTATAACGACTTGTATCATGCAGGTTTATGGGGGGCACGACGCCACAGGTCAAAGATGAGGGGGTCAGGAGCCTAAACTATCATTCTAATCGCTTGCCGCTTTTCTGTAGCTGAGCACCTAAACCTTGAGCCTAGTGAAAACTGGTATATATATATATACACACACACATAATCATGGTTGCAATCTAGCGGTATATGTATTGCCAGTATCGCAGAGTTTCGGTTCGGTTCGGTAGCGATACTCAATACCGAATACCCACCAGACCTGTCTGCCTCAGCGACCTGCCTCCAGCCACCGACCAACCTCCAGCCACCTGCCTCTACCTCGATCCAGCCACCTGCCTCCAGCCACCTGCTTGGAGGAGGGTGGCTGGAGGAGGGCTGGTCGGGAGGGCTGGTGGCTGGAGGGCTTGTGGGCGGAGGGCTGGCTGGAGCGCTGGTGGCTGCAGGGCTGGGGGTGGCTGGAGGAGGGTGGTTCGGTACGTGGCCACAGAATCAGCAATACAAACGCTTCGGTTTGCGATGCACTGCGGTATGCGGTAAAAAGTATTGTTGAAAATGCCATGATACAACATATATATATATATATGTATGTATATGTATATATATATATATATGTATAGAGAGAGACTGAGAGAGTGTGAGAGAGAGTGGGAGAGAGAGTGAGTCGCGAAAAGGTTGAATTTTCCAAGTGGGAATCTCAACAACTGCGCGTTTCGCTCAGCACGCCCCGAGTCTCTAACTCGTGATTCCCGAAGCAAACATTGAAGTTTCATGGGTAGTTTGAAGTAGGGTTCCTTTAACGGTTCTCTAGGGTTTAGGTTATACGTGGGGTCATGAGTAATTTAGTTGGTAACTATATAGCTAGAACCCTATTGAGGGACTTATGCCTCCATTGACAATGCCCATAACCTCCAAGTATTGCTATCGCTGCTATGCAGTCGCAGTTTTGCAAGCATGGAATACTTGTTCTTATTCCCTTATTGTACTCGGTGTTTGTTTATATTTCAATCGCATGTTCAAGTTCACACACTGCTGATGTTGAAGCCCCTAAACCCTAAACCCTAAGGCCCGAACATGATCTCTCCAATGCAAGAGGGAAAAATCCCTCAAGCCTAAATTTGTGACAAGCTCCGTTTGCGGCCTCCCGCAGCTTTCGTAGGGTGGGGGGAAAGGGCGGAAGGGGTCGTCACCCCATCAGGAGTTTCACCTTAGTGTTTCAGTAGGTAACCTTTAACTTGTCGGGTATAATGTATTTCTATATGAATGTCTGCAGAAATGGCAAACCATGCCAAGTGCGCCCGGTCAGGACACCGCTGATGTTGCAAGTATCACAGCCCCCAAAAACAGGAATATGAAACCATCGAAGGCCAAAGCCCTACTTAGACCCCCCAACTACCGTCCATTAGGCCTTAAATGCCCACCATTAAGGAAATTAAGGGCTCCATTAAAGGGCCATTGGGGGGTCCGGGTATGAGACTACTGTTCGCCATGGAGAGCGAAGAAGCCGCAGCGTTGATCGCCGGATTCAGCCTCAGTTGCCTGATGCTGCTGAGGATCATCTGCCGCCAGCCTGAAAATGGACCTCTATAACCGTCTTCATGGTTGATTACCCTCAACCCTAACACTGATTCTTTCCCAAAGGGTCCAAGTATCATTATGGTATATACTTAGACCCCCCAAAATACCCTATAAGTATGTACCATAATGATTCTTGGACCCTTTGGGTTTGTAGAATGAGAGCTCAGAGCTGAGAAGGATCGTCTAAGCTCCACCGAAGGATCTTACTATGGGGCCTATGGTACCCCAAAAAGTCCTAATACAGTCATCAAGGCCCGGCTTGATGCATGAACCTTGTGGAACCCAGTTAAACTATCTAGAATGCAAAGGATCAAGACCAAGACTTCACTTCGGGGCGTAGTATATTACAGCATCTTACAATATTAAGAACCTTATCCTAATTAACTACGAAAGCCAGAATATTCAATTCTAAAGCCTTGTTAGCAGTTAAAACAAGACCCTACCGTGCCACTGGACCCCATTGTTCTATTTGTCAAGGCAGGGATATCTAAGTCGGTAGCATGAAGTTAGACCCGTTAAAGCAAAGCCAAGCCTCCTTCGAATCATGACCGCCCCGATATGGGTGGCTGTCAAAATTAGGGTCCTTTTTTGGGCCCTTACTATAATACGGCACCTAATATTTAGGGTACCAAAAGAGGGGCCATAATTTTGACAACCACCCATAAGAAACCCTGTAAAACCCGCTAAACTCTCTAGTCTATTTCCCTGGGGGTCCAAAGGACCCACCTGTATCCCCAAACCCTACAAAATAGCAGGTCATGATCCCTTAATTAGAGGGTAGAACCCTTAAAACGGTAGGTTTTCGGATCCCAAGGCAATAGTTAGGTATTTAGGTTCCCAGAGACTCCAATACCCCTTAATTAAGGAATATACCTTAAATCATATTAGGGATCCTATAATAATTTAAGGTATATTCCTTAATTAAGGGATATTGGAGTCCTTAGGTTTCCGATAGTCGTTATGTAGGCTCCCGGACCCTTAGGAGTTTAGCAATGCCGGAGTATATCTTAGAAGCTGCCCCCACCCTGTAATAGTGACTATAAGGATTATATTAGGGCCAAATTATATTCCTATTATACCACTATTACAGGGTGGGGTCAGCATCTAAAGTATATCCAACATCCTCCCAAGTCGGAAAGCCTCTGATTCCTGGATTACCGAGGCAAAGTCTTGCGGCTGGGCTGCGTTGGAAGGGTTTAGGGGTGGAGGGCTCACCTTATCCCCAAACAACCTTTTTAAGGACTTATATACAGAAATCATATTGGGGAGCCCCAAAAAGGTAGGTTCCTCAGGATCTAGGTAGGGCTCAGAGGCCCCAAAGCCCTAAACTCCGAACACTGAAACCCAGTCCCAACCTGGTTGACAAAACCCCTCCAACCCCCCCTCCCCCACACTTCCCCGGCCTTAATAATCAGAACAGAGTTTCACGGCCCCTTATACTATAAAATAAACGGGACCCCCAAAATAGTATGGGCTATCAAGATCAGAACACGAACCCGGGACGCGATTGAGTGGGGCAAACCTTGGTTGAGGGGGGTCTGGGGTCTTGTCGTCGTAGTACAGCAGCAGAGTAGTATAGTAGTTGTACTGGGAGCCAAGCCAAGCCGCAAAAAAAAAAGCTGGCGTCCAGCCCAGCTGAGGAAGCCGCGCCATGCCAAGCGCACCCAAAAGCCAAGCAGCAGGTAGCAAAACAAAACCCTTCGCCTGAGCGCCTTGAAGTGGGATGTGGGAACCCCTATTTCGCAACGGCAGTGTGGTTTTGGAGCCTCTGACTGTCTGAGTCAACGATAACACCGATGTCACTTACCCAGCTGTCTGAGGAGAATCCGCGCTTCAAGGAATCCTTGTTTTGTTCTTTTACCGATATCGTACGGTACCTGCCTCTACGCTTCTAAAACATGGCCAGGCGCATAATTCACTTCACCAGCTGATGGCCCTCCCAGTTAGCCCAATACCCCTTAATTAAGGAATATAGCGTAAAGTATGTTGCGGAAAGTCCCATGTCATCCGAAGCCAGCCGATAGCGACGACCCACACACACTGGGGCAAGAATTGGTAAGCAGAATTTTTTGGCACTGGCCAGCAGCTTCACAGCCAGAAGCCATGAACCCTACTTACCGGTTCATCCCTCCGAGCTCAGAGCAACAGGGACCCAAAGTGCTGATATGCCCGAAGGCCTACCCTAATACCCCAAGCCCTTTTTCGAACAATCAAAATACCGAATACCACTGCTAGAGCCACAACACAACCACAATACCCTGGTATCCTACGCCCCACACCCTAAGCGGAAACCCAAACCTTTACGACCAAGAGGTTTCACTTCTCGTCCCTCGGTCGCGGCATGCGCAAGTTTCTGAAGCGGACGCTGCACCTTTTCCGGGCGGGGAAGGAGTCGTGGACTGCACTTGCTTCGTGTTTCACGGCTCATCGGGTTAAAGTAACAGCCAGAAAGTTGGAATATGATTATCCTAAACCCTTTATGGTAAATTATAGGGTATCCTACCCTGAAACCATATTCCAACTTTCTGGAGTTCCCGTTAAGGCCTAGGGTTCGGGGGTTGGGGTTGGGGCTCTCCGGGTTGACTGGTTGTTCCGGGGGTTGGGTTTGGGGCCGTTGTATGACCCTAAAACCTAAAGCCTAAACCCTAGCAAGTTGTATGTGTACAGGATTTCGGTATTTAGTGAACCCAGAAGCTTGGAAGACGGAATGACGACACTAAGTGGAGGGTTCCTTCTTGCTACCTTGGCTAACATGGGCATATCGAGGTTCCAGCTTTCTGGCTTCTACTTCACGGGATGTTGATGGGACTACCTGTATTTGCAATCTCCTTTTTGTTTCTCGGATCAGGATCCTATCTTCGGTCCGAACATTGGTATAGCTGGAGATAGGTAACCGATAAGCGGGACTGCAATTGAGGCTCTACGGATGATTCAGGATTCACGAGATCTTTCGTTCTGGTTTGAGACCCCGGTTCTTTAGGTCTGAGGGCTTGGAGTTTGCGGATTAAGGGTTTGAGCGTGATGCTGGCGAAGCTCACCCGAGGCTAGAATCCAAAAACTCAGGCCTAAATGGTACGGGCCAAAATCTATATGGGAGTTTCCGAAAATGAGGGGTACCTTATATCGGGGTCCTTATACTATGGATCCTACTATTTAGGGTACTATATTAGGGTCCCCTATTTTCTGAAACTCCCAATATAGGTTTCTCGCCGATCTGAAGCAGGGTACAAGGAGGGACCCTCAATAAGGACCTCTTAGGTATATACCCTTAATATATAGCTATTATATACCCATTATATAGCCCATTATAAGGTAGGGGTCCCCGTTAAGGGTCCCTCCTTTTCCCCTTTGATTACACCGACCACATGACCCCCAAAAGTGTGTTTCCGGCCTCGGGTTGCAGGGTGAGGAGAGGACAGGTCAGTTTGTAGTAGGAGAACCCTAGGCATCGAAGGACTCATATATGAAGGCTTTTGGGCCCAAAGACCATACTATATAAGGCTTTTGGGCTATTTTCATGCCCAAGGGAATGAACCCTTGCCCTCTTCCATGTTACAAACTCTAGTAGTAGAGTAGGTACCCTTTGGCCTTTTTGGGGTAGTATAGTCCCTATATAACCCCTATATACCCAAAAAGGTTAACCTTTAGTTCCCTATGATGCCCGACAAGTCGGCAAGCGTTGTCGACCCGAAACCCTAAACGGTGTGCTCGTGGTCAGGGGCTTCCAGGGCTCTCCGATACATTTCTCCGTGCTTCATTCATGTTGTGGGCAAGTGGGGCCCCCTGCGGTTTCGAGCCTAAAGTGTATTGCTCGAGCACGCCATCTACTTAAATGGCACACATAAATGTTGATCCCCTCAGGTTCCAGCAGTCCCAACCCTAAACCCTAAACCGTGGCAGGCGCGACGGGAGCTGGAGGCGAAAAGCGCCGAGCAGGAACGCTTGAGGAGCGAACTGCTGCAGGCAGGGGTTCGCTCCTGGCTGGGTTTGTCGCACCTTCAAGACCCAAAAAACACATAAGCCTAAGCACTTTATGGTGGTATCCCTACCTTACTGGGCTTCATTAATGAGGGAGTTTACATGGGATATCCCTATGCTAGTGCTTTGTTTGGGGCCTAGTATCTGCTCGTCCCCCGAAACCATGCCCCAAACTACCCTTGCCCTACCTTTCGCGATCATAACCTACTGTTTTGTAGTTTGTTTTTCTGTTTATCCTAGTTTGGGTTTTATGGGGACCCTACAAAAAAGTAGGTTTTGGTAGGCTAAGGTAGATCTTGCAGCTCTTTTCTTGCTAGACTTCGATTTTCACCACACCCTGAGGCTCCAACTATGCTGAACATGCCTCTGTTGGGTAATCCAAATTCCAAAGGGATCTAAAGGGTAAAAGGACGTGCACAAGTTGCCGTGTTTTCAGTTGACGAACATCTCCGGCGGCCTGGCAAACATGATCCCCTTGTGCTCCACTTTGCCGTCCCAGTAGAGTAATAGGTATAAGTACACAAGTACAGTAGCAAAACGGTGCACTTATAATGTAATTCCAAAGGTGCAGTAGTACAATAGTACAATAGTGCGGTAGCCTGATAGTGCGATGGTACACCTGTACACTAGTAGTACAGTACAGCAGTAATGCAGCAACACTGCTGGCGGCGGCGGCGCTTAGAGGGGCTTGGTTAACTCATGAGGCATTTTAGTAGCTACTACGACAACGACAAGTAACGAACGAAATAATGGATTTGGGGGGTTGAGGGATTCTTGGTCGGGTGTCTTTGGGTCTCGGTGCCTCAAATGTTTTAGGTGGGCTTAATTAGGGAAATTCGAGGGCAAGGGCTCGAGAATAAAGCCCCTCCTAAACCCGTTGGCCTTGAAAGGTTTAGGGTACCCAAACCCCAAATCCTAAACGGTTTAGAGTTTCGGGGTTTTCGCCGGGTTTCGAATGCCTGGGAGGGAGAGAGCCCCTAAACCCCAAACCCAAAAACCATAAGTTTAGGGTTTAGGGTCACAGCCAAGCCTCTCGTCTCCTTTGGCGACCCTTTGCTCAGTTAAGACACCCTCAACATGCCAAGCATAGAAAAGCTCCTCAAAAGACACTTTAATGATTTTCACCTACTGAAAGACACCAGGACACTCCTTTGGGCCATTATTTGAGCCAGACGCAGCAGTAGTATAAGCGGTCATCACCTTTGCCCTTACCACCATGCTCAGCAACCGTGGAAAACATCTTGACGACCGTCAGCAAGTCATCAAGTTTGCTATCTCCACACCATCGAAGTCATGCTTTTTGCAGCAGCAGCAGCAGCAGCAGCAGCAGCAGCAGCAGCAGTTACCAGCCGTGAGTGCTGGAAGTCATAAACGTGGTCACCGTGACATGCGCGGCAGCAGCAGTAAGTGATAGCCACATTACACATGTGTGACCATGATCTTACTGGCAACAGACAAGCTGCGACTCCCCATATCCTCGTAGACATTCGTAGATCCTAAGCTCCAAGCTCCAGGCGTAATTTGCTTTTCATGCAACACGAACTCTGGTCTCAGCTTTTTTTCTCGCTGCTTACGTCGATCTGCACCTACCCTCTGAAGGCGTGGGGGTTGAGGGTTTGCCGGTGGCCACAGACTCATGATCTGTGTGTATCTGTGTGTGCATATATATATATATATATATATACAGTATGTATACATTCGCGGACTCATGCTGACATCTGCGTGCCCCTCGAGACAGGTGCGGCTCTATCTAGCACACTACCTGCTGTCCGTGTATGCGGCTGTATCCGGCATCATCGTAGCCGCGAACATGACGACACTCTCCATGACTCTCGGACATTTACAGTTGCTCACGAGCTCTTGGCTTGCTTGACCCAAAGTGGACTTGTTGAGTCTGGCCACTGTTGTTTAGTGCCCACGCTCGATCTGCAAGCATGAGCTGTAAACCCTAAAGCCTGACCTGACTCGGGACTCGCCAACTGGGTCCTCAGGAGCAGGGGCCCAACAAATACAAAAGCCGTAAACTCCAAATCCCGAATGCAAATCCGAGCCCGTAGACAACAAACCCTAAACCCGCGCAGAGCCTAAGCCCTAAACCCTACAAGAAAAAAACCCTAAACCCCAACCCCTAAACCCCAAACCCCAAACCCTAAACCCCAAACCCTAAACTCCAAACCCTAAACCCCAAACCCTAAAGCCTAAACCCTAAAGCCCAACCCCTAAGCCTCTACAGGGCCGGTTCCATCAGAGACATCCAGCCGAGGCGAAACCCGACGTACCTCACCCTGCAAGGCCGGTCAACATCCAGAGTCCTCACTTCCAACTGAGTGTAGGGTTCAGGTATATATATATATATATATGTATGTATACACATGTATGTATATATATATATATATATGTATAAGGTACTATCTATATATATATACATACATACATACATACATACATACATACATACATACACACACACACACACATATATATATATATATACATGTGTGTGTGTGCTTATTTTTATAAGCAGACAGTATAACAATCAGAAAATACCATGTAGTGTAGTTCTTGCATATGTTATTATACAGTGTTACAGTATATACCATATATGATATGAAACATTAATATCTATATGGTGTATGTATATATAAATATCTACACACGCACACAATGTACTGCTATTGTGGAAGTAGGTCCCAAAACCACAATAAGGGTGCTTTTTGAGACCTACTTCCATAGTGAGCGTAGTAAATATGGACCCTCTGGGTTTCAGGTGGCTTTCAGAAATTCAGGGGTAGAGGGTGCTCGCGTGTGCAGTTTCTCCTCAGGATTGCGTGGCTTTTCGGGATTGAGACTTAAGCCGGCAGGGTGCGCGACTGAGCTTCGTAGCATGGGCGGACCGACTCCTATGATTAAAGCGAGGTGGACGAATCGTAAAGCTGGATTCGCTTGACATAAGAAGGAGCAAGACAAAAGCGACTCAATATCCAACCCCCCAAGCCCTGAATAACGAGCACAAGTTTAAATCTTACTTCCTAACCCCTATAACACCTGATCCCTATAGTAAACCCCAAAAAGTTGGAAACCTGATAAAGGACAAATAGTGCTGGGATTCCCTATACAGTACTCTTAAGGACTGAGGCTATTGGGTTTCCAACTTTTGGGCTTCGACTATATCTGCCCTAACCCTCTGAAGGATCCTGGCTGTTGATCGCCGGCCTGGCCGTTTTGAACTGCTACGCTTTCCTCCCTCAGAGGCTGCTCAAGGTCTCCCTCCTGCCTTTTGGCATTCTTAGTAGCTGAGTGGGTTTAGGGTTTTTCGGGTCTTGGGAACACTATAGACCCCCTTGTAGAACTGAAAGGGTTTGCATTTTGGGGGGCTTATGAGCTCAGCAACTTAGCATTGAAATGCCACTTCAACGAGGATGAGCGATTATTGGGGACAGTTTGCAGCTTGGGACAGTTCTTTTGGGCAGGTTAGGGGTTAGGGCAGTTTAGTGTTTATAGGGTTTGATAATTTGGGAAGGAGTTTACAAAGGGTTCAGGCACCTTTAATAGCAGCGCTGTAGCCGTTGAAAGCCTAGATGCGTACAAGAAGGTCTTCTACAATGCATGGTGGTTTTCCAAATTTGCAGCAGCATCGTTCCCGCAATCGTCAGCCGCACGCCCTCCTGCAGCTAAGAACCCAACTCCAGCGCCCATTGACGGGTTTAGGGTTTGTAGGGTTTGTTGACAGGGGGTTAGGATGGGAGGAGAAAGAGTGGTAGTACTTTCTCAGAACCGTCTCAGTTGGAAACGAGTTTCTGTCGGGTCGGACACTGCGTCGAACCCTCAAACCTGAGGTTTCGGGTTCGGAACCTGCAACCTAAAACCCTGAGAGGTGTACCGGGAGCCAAGCCCATGTGAACAGTTCGAGTTTTCTCACAAGTTTTGTTGATAATGGTCCTATAGGGGCGAGGATTGGGTCTACCCTGCTGTTGGAAGCCCCAGGACCAACAACGAAAACGCGGGAGAGGGTCAGGAACGGAGGCATAGAGAGTAAGAGGGAAACTAACATACCTTAACCTACCAAAACCTATAAAAAGTAGGGTCCCTATAAATTTCATATTAAGGCTTATATTAAGAACCTACAAAAAGGTAGGGTTTGGTAGGTTAAGGTAGACCACAGTCAGAAGTGGGCAACCTGAGGAACGTATGGTTTGTCTTCTTCCTGATCTCTTGTATACTTTTCGCCATGCCCTGGAACCTGCCCATCTTTCGCATTTTCGATGCTCTGGTCATTGCCCTTCTCTTGCGGATTCCAACCTCGCTGTTGGCGACTCGAACTCTGTGGGCTTCTAGCTCGCAATGACTAGGTAGGGCTTTGGGACATTTTATATTTACCTTTATCTTATTTACTAATATTTTTCAAAGGCTTTAAAAGCCCCACCTAGATGAGGAGAGAGGTGTTGGGCAATTAGGGCTTGCGAGTTGTGGCATTGTCAACACGAAGTAAGGGTTCAGAGTTCAGACTCGGCTGCTTATGCCCATAAAGGCAGACGCGTGGGCAAAGCGTAAAGCAGCACAGCATGTATGCTATTGCTGTATTCAGAGGCTAAATCCGAAGGTTTGTTTCGAGGTTTTAGTAGACTCTGGCCTCGCGTAGCTCAATCTCGGCGGCCGCTGTGGCAACACACACACACACACACTACTATCGCGGATGCCTGATAACATGAGTATTTTTTCATTGGGCTGTTTGGTATATGGTATTGCTAGTTCTGTACAGCATCTTCTGAGATGTAGGAGCATTTTGGCAGTATTTCGTCACGACCGGAGCATACCCTGCGTAGCATTGTGAGAACCATGCCGCACTTCAATGCCCACCACTATTTCAGCAGAAGCGTGCAGAAGCAATGAGCAGCGTCGTCAAGCATGGCGTATAGGTGCCTGCGCCCCGAATTGCTTATTTCTGTTTGGTACATACGCGCGGAGCCGGTCCCGCAGAAGGTGGGGATGTTACAAGGACGACTGATGATGTCCACCCACCGGCTTGCAGCATACCAGCCTACATGTTAATTCTTCTATAGTGTCCTTAGGAATTATTTCTTATTTTTGTCATATAACACCCAAGAAAATATTTAAATAACTATTTTTTTTTATGGTTCTAAGCGGGGTATAGTCTTCAACTCCTGAATTCACGCCGTTCCCGTCCGGACAGAGCTCCCATCAATTCCACAATATAGGGGCGTAAGTAATTACCTATACTAATTTGGGGGTTCCTTACCATAATCTAATTGTTAAGCCCCCTATATTACCTCCCAAGCTGTAGGACTTAGTCTTGGACGTGCCACAGGTTGCCTTGGGCAACTTCGCGGTGTCGTTGATGACGCAAGGCTTTTGATTAGTTCTCCAATATCTAGCATTTTCAACTTCTGCGAGTGTTATATCTCAGTACGGTCCTGATATCCCTAAACCCTAATAAACTTTGCAAGAGGCAAAAACAACCCTAAACACCCTAAACCCTAATAGCCCAAAACCCGAATAGCCTTAAGTCCCCGAAACCCTAAACCCTGATCGAGTTTGGAGTCCGAATTGGGCTGCATGTACCTTGCAAGAACAGGGGTTAGGGCTCTGGGTTGGAGTTCGTTAGGTTACGGCCTTTGGGGGTTAAGGTTTATATACCTGTACTTTATACACTCCAATACCGGAAACTCCCCGCTGTGAATCTTCACCCCTGGTTATGTAGTGAGCTTGTGCAGACGCGCTGGTGGCAGGTGCGAATTCAATTATTCTATCGTTTGGCTACATCTGGCCTTAGTACCCTGAGGCCTTGCACACCAAGTGCCGTGAGTGCCAAACTTGGTGAGGTTTGATATAGCATGGAACCTTTAATTCCAAGAAAACTTGGGGTGGTTAAATGTGTTTGGTGTGTTGGTCCTAAGTTTAGGGTTGGGCCGACTGGCAGACTAGCACTTTTCAGAATCATGCCTATCTATAACTGTTACCAACTGACGGAGCAGAGTTTAGTCTTTTAGGGTAGGCACAGGCCGGCACCTCAGTCGGTGCTGAAAAGGGTGTAAGGGTTTGGGGTTTTAGGAGTTCGGGGTTTGGGGTGGTTGCCGTCAGCAACCCCACCGAGATCTGAGAAATTACGCTTCTTGGCGTGCCACAATGTGGAACCTCACAACGTATCTGCCAGAATCCCCTCTTCAGAGATTTGGTGTCTACAGGCATGTCCATCATGATGTCTCTAGAGGCTCGTCAGTTCTTTCCCATGGTCCGAAGAGCCACCTAAACCCTAAACCCTAAACCGTGGCTCTTTAGGCTGAGCCAGTCGGAAACTGCACTAAAGGCCCTACACCCCAAACCCCGAAAGCCCTTATCCCATACCCCGGGATTTCAACCGTGCTCTGCAGACTACCTTTTTTTGAAGGATTTATATAAGGAAATCATAACAAGGAACCCAACCAAGCTGTGTTATTATATTCAGGGCTAAGGTAGAGCCTCAACCCAGGATCGTTTGGCGTCTGTGGTCCAGCGGCGCAATGCTTCAGTCAGGCAGCTCGCTGCCTCTGCTCCATGGACGAGAGCTAGCTTTGGAAGTTACCCAGAGGCTCCGTAGTAGTTCCTTTGCTAGGAATACCTTATGGGATTCTAAATATGAAACCCCAAAAAGGAACTACTATGGAGCCTCTAGGTAGGGACTGAGGGGCTTAAGGGCTGAAGATTTGAGGGTTTCTGGGTTTCGGGTTTAGGGTCTGGGAGTCTTCCTCAGCTGTCGCTCCTCGCAGAGCTTGCTAATTGTTTTGTGACCCCTACCCCTGCGGAACCGCAGATGTTTTCTTTTTTTGGTCCCGGTTTGACAAAGAACTATGGAAAGACCGTGGTGGTTGTTGGGCCTTGTCAGATCATATCCCCTATGCACGGAGGCCCTCAACAGCGAAAGAGCTACAACTCTGTCGCTCAGGCTTCTCGCAACGATGCTGGAATGCGCTGTTTCCTCCCTCGCTGTGGTCTTTTCTGTGGTGATGAGTGCCTCCGCGGTTGAGAAACCAAATTGGAAATCATAAAGGTCCTAGCCTATGTATGTTTGCTCAGGGTTCGCTCACACATGAAGCGGCAAACTGCACACTTTCGTTTAGCATGCCGTGGCTTAGTGCGATGTATACAGCTCACAATTGGATGGGCAACTGGAGCGATGTCTTAATCATTCGTGGCCAGTCGCACATGCTTAAGAGCAGGAACCCCAAGGGTCCAAAGGCCCCAATAATTAGGTACTCGGTTTTAGGATACGTAGTAGTTATGTAGGTTAGGATTTGGGAAAGTATATGATTATTAGGTACTTGGACCCGTGGGGGAATGTGTGGCTCAATTTGTAAACGAGCCTCTGCAAGCAGGACTTTGCTCATGTCACCGGTTGGGGCTCAGCAATTCTGTTGGCAAAGCCTGAAATGCCCGAATGAAACCGAAACCTCCCTAGACCCTCCATCTACCCTCCATTAGACCCTAGATGACCCTTATTTGGGACCATATACCCCTATTTGAGGGTACAAGGAGGGTCCTGGTCTGTATAAAGTTTCCTTATCCTTGATTCACCGGAGTTTAGGACTTCAGCGCGGGAAAACCCACAGGCTCCAAGTATCATTGTGGTATATACTTAGACCCCCCAAAATACCCTATACAACAGACTGCTGCACAGGTGAGATCATGCGGCAGAGAGCATCTCTACGATGCGAAAACACAAAGACTCTTGCCCGACAGTTTGCAGTTTACTGGCAGGTCGAGTGCTTCGAGACAGCAGTTCACGTTTTCGGGGATGAGGCCTTCGGGTCTTCTATATAGGCCTGAACAGTGTGAGCTTTAAGCCTGGAGCATGCTTCGAGTCTTTATACAGCCGCTTACGATCTCCTTTCTCAAAGCAAAGCCTAGGCCAGCCCCTCCTCGAACCTGACCTTCCATAAGATGATTCGGATATACATGCATTTAGGGTTTAGGACTTAGCCGAGGATATCCTATGACAACTCAGCCATCAGCGGGCTCTTGCGTCTCATGAGCGACGCAGTGATCGAGCTGGATCAGGCGCCTGCGCGTTTGTTCACTGTTGAGAAGGCCACGTGAAATCCTGACGCCTGCAGAGCCCAAAACCCGACAGCGTGCAAAACCCGACACCGTGCGCTTGAAAAAGACAAGCTCCTCAGATGGAATCGCATTCCTAATGTATACTGCTTGGAAACTGCTTGGTTTCCATTGAGAAAGCCTGGATCCCCGAAGCCCCAAACCCTAAACGGCCCTAAACCCTAATGTAGGGGCCATCATAATCAGAATAGGGTTTTGGGGCACATTATACTATAGTATATAATAAGAAAACCCGCCTAAACCCTAAACGGCCCTAAACCCTGAACCCTGAACCAGGACTTGAGATTGATCCGACACTCGCCGGAGCTCAGCGCCATGCTAATGCGACTGGGGCTGTGCAACAGGGGTGTGGAGGCTGTCGGGTTTCCTTTTGAGGATCCAGTAGGACTAAACAGAAAACATTCCAGCTTCCTTATGTTTTCCTTGAGGTACCGCAAGGGTCCAAAGGATCCAATAATTGGGTGCTCGGTTTTAGGATAGTAATTATGTGAGTATATGATTATGAGGTACTTGGACCCTGGGGGTATAACCAGCTGCGATTGTTCAGTCTTCGGACGCGTCATGGCGTCGGAATGATTGTGTCGATTGCTTCGGATTGCTTCGCTTCCCTCTTTAGTCTTTATTTCTCCTAGAAGGGGGGCGGAGCTTCTGTGCAGCAGGGTCTGGCAAACCCTGCGCTTCAACAACTCCGCAGGTCGCATTTGCAATCCCATTGCTTTTCAAGTCTTACTTGCTCACAGAGCTTAGTTAAGTTCAATATGAGGGCCATATTATATTTCAATTATAAGAAGGAACCCCGCCAACATAGCATAGGTAACTACTAGGGCCCCTACAGGATAAACCTTCAAAGCCTTCAACCCTTCGCTTTAAAGAACCGAAGCTCGCAGCACCTAACCCCGCATCCCGACATGTTGGAAAAGCCGTAAACCCGACAGATAGCACCTGGGGATTCAAAAGCCTGCCGCTTAAGGGTTAAAGCCTCTAATAAAGGTTCATGACCTACAATTCTCCCAGTGGCTAAGAGTTTTGGGTAGAGGACAGACCCTGCACCCCAAACCTTAAAACCCTGAACCCTAAAACCCTTGAAAACCCTGAAGACCCTTAACCCTAAACCCAAAACGACACCTTAAAACCCTAAACTCTACAGTCCGGGCCCAAGGAGAGATCGACCTGGGGCTTCGACAGAGGGCCTGGCTGCTGAGCTTCAGCAGCTGAAGGGTTAGGGCTGAGGGTGTAAGGGTGCTAGGATTTAGGGTTCGGATTCCTCTGCGATTTTCGAGCACCTGTGAGAGAGAGGATTTGTGGTTTAGGCTCCAGCGTTTAGGATTGATAAAGCAAGAATTAAGGTTTAATTGAGCTGCTTTTCGTTTGCTGGCGGTTGTTATATCAGCTACAATGTTTCCCTTATGGTAACCCGTGGCACGGAACACCCACCACGGGTAGGAGAGTGCATGTAGAAACAGCTTCTCAGCTAGAGATATGGGGATGTCTGGGATAAGAAATCCTTCATGAAGATCCCAAATTGTAGGTTTTTTCGTGTAAGAACCTTGCATAAGGTACCCCCAATTCAGCTGAACCTCTCTGACAAGAAAAACAAAAAAAGTCAAATCAAGCCCAAACGAAAGTTGACACTAAGCCCTCACACCCTTGTCCGAGTGTGAGCGCCGAAACCTCCAAACGCCTTGATCGCTGAACCCTGCACCGGATTCTCGAGATGGAGCTCAGTGTACGTTGCCATAACAAGGAAGGCACAGTCCCTATATAGCATATACAGATACATCATGTGTATATATACAATTACATGCACCCTGTGTTCTTATATTTATACTGTCAGCTGTAGCTGAACAACTGTCTTAGCAAGCGTCCTTTCCAAGCCCTGCGACAAGGACCCTAGAGAAGTTGAAACAAGCATTTGCGACCCTATTTACACAGGGCAAGGAAGATCAGATTGGGTGACAAACGATTATCAGCGACAGTTACGTAAGTGTAACTTGTCGTATTCTTTTTGATGATATTAAGGTTTCTTTTTTCTGTTCATTTAAATATGGTTATTCATGCTCATAGTCATACTAGTATTACGAGTAGCATAAGTATCAATATTATTACGATGTTACAATATCATCATTATGACTGTGATTGTTCTCGTCATGATTATTAGCCTTTCTTGCTGATCAGCCAATCACATGAATGACTACATTAGGGTTTGTCTGGTTACTGGTTTCAATGTTGATCATTGATGGTTGTTGTTTTGGCATTATTTGTTGTCTCGCTTGTTAGTCATTATCGTTTGCGGTTGCCCTTGTATCTATTTCTGCTTGTGTTGTGTTGCTTATTGGCAACCAACTGTTGCTTGCTACCGAAGATTGCTATGTGCTGCTGTGCTGATTAGCAGTGTTGGATGGTTGTACTTGTTATTCCCGATGTTGCGCATCAGTGGATCTTGTGTTGTTCATTGTAGGTTCATGCCTGATATCAATGCTGTAGTTTTCGGATGCATTATTGCTTGTGGTTTCTTTTATTTCTTAATATGTGCTGCAATGCGCCGTGGTTCATTTTCTGATAGTCCTTGTGTTTGCTTTGATCAGTGTTTATCGGCACCCGTAGTAATTCCCGGTGGTATTGATTAGCGTTTCTTGTTACATAACTTCTGCACGCTATTGTGCATTGTACTTCGTTATTACTCATGGCATCTTCTGCTCCATTACCAATGTTGAGTACCCGTGCACAGTTTGTGCATTCAGTTGTGAGTTGCTGCGTTGATTTTGTGGCTGCTTGCTGTATGATGTGCTCCCTCCTTAATTATCAGATGGTTCTATCTGTGTTTGCATGATTGGTATTTGTGGTTTCAAGTCGTTTAAATAGTTGCCGCTGTATTCGTATTACTGTTTTTCTGCGTTCGCTGCTTGTGTGTTGGCGTTAGTTGTTAGTTGTTGTGCTTAGTTTGTTTTGTACACCCCTGTGAGCAGCATGAGCATTTGCTTGTATAGTTTGGCTATTATCACGCCCTACACCAACCTCTGCTAGAGACTATACAATACCAGGAATAGAGCCTGCTTGCATCGAATCACCTAAAACATCGCGTGTAGAACCTGTTGAGATTCCTCGAACTAACTTACTAATTCCTGTTATTTACTATTCGTATTGATACTGTGTTCATGAAAACTCAGAGCTATGATTAGCTCGTAAACTTAAAGTTCAATAATTGCCCGAAGCCTTGAAACCCTAAATAGGAACCTCCTGCACCCAGGCTTTCTCAGACTTCATCCATTCCGCCGATGCGGCCCGGGCAGTCGAACTACTGCTGGACCCAATTGGTGCGACTAGTCTGCTGGGAATTCTGCAGGAGGTTTAGCGTTTGGGGTCTAGAGTTCCAGGTCTTAGCAGGGGGGTGGCTTTCGGGCGTGCAATGTCCGCGTCGGAATAACAAGCGTGCTCGAATATGAGCACTCTAGTCAACTTGTGATTCAGGCTTCAGGGCTTTCGGCTTTAGTAAAAGAAAATCAGCACATTGGATTGGAGTCCACAAAGTCCAGTTAAGGATTCTATGGTAAGCCCTTGACATGGCTCAGGTGACTGCAGAGAGCGGCACTTGCGCCCACGCGTTTCATACACGCTTGGTGGACACCTTTTCGAACAAGGCCGTTGCCTTCTCAACTCTAAGGAGGCAAAGCTGTCCAGGGCGAATCTGGAGCTAGCAAAGGCCAGTTTTCTACTCCCCGAAGGAAGGCTTTTCGATTTCAGGCTTGTGGGTTGATTTTGTCCCTCAAACCCCTCAACCCTAAAACCCCTAAACTCTAAAAACCCTTGTCTAAGTTCCATGCGGCTGAGGTGGGGTCTTGGCAGTGTCGGATCTATTGGCTCTGGAAAACCGAGAGAGTGGACATCAGCCACACAGTTCGTACACTGTAGGTACTATATAGTGTTCTTTTAAAGCGTTCCTTAAAAGGGGGTCCTGTAAGGGTTACTCTAAGGGTCCTATGAGATAGGGGCCTAGATAATTACCAATTCTATTTGGGGGGGGGGGTTCCGTAGTATAGTTACTATAGTATAATGGGCCAAAACCCTATTCTAATTATTCAGGCCCCTATATTACAGGGATTGAAAAGGCCGTTACCGCAATACTCAAACACGAAGAAGCCCCATCAGGGCTCTCAGTATGTTCCACTATGCTTGAAATCTTACCTAAGCCCTAAACCCGAAACCGTGCTAGGTATGTTTTAGTCAGGTTCTGGAAACACAGTGCCGACGACTCACGGTCTTTGCTGCCAATGGTTCTTTCAGACGACTTGCAGCCCATGCAACAACAGCAAATAGCTGAAGTCGCTTCAAAGAGTAATATGTACGAACATGTATATATGTATATAAAACCTGTACATACATACATACATGCAGACAGACATGCACACAGATAGGTGTACATATGCACACGCAAATCACCATATTCGTATCTGTATGGGTCATATCTATGTGTATATATATATATGCGAACACAAATGTGGGGGAGGGCTATAGATAGAAATATCGGCGGTTTGCCGGCAAGGTGTGCGTTGAAGTTTTCACAATCAAGACCGAAAACGCAGAGGGACAAGTCCGACACCTGCTGCTTGGTATCAGAGAAGCTTGAACTTGGCCTGAACTGAATAATTGCAAATATTACGCCTTTGGGCTTCGGGGGTTGACGTGTGATCAGGGTTTAGAAGTTTCGGGTTGAGGGATTATCCTGATTAAAATCATGCTAGAAGGTATCTAAACACCCTGATCTAAGTTTTAGAGCGCCTATAGTATGTTTAGTTACTGGATCCCGTGCTTAATTGATTATGATACAAGAGCAGCCCCAACACGGTGTATTTCGATGCACTTACAACCCATTCTTGACAGGTTTACAGTCCAATTCCTATTCTATGTGGGTGGTTGTCAAAATTATGGCCCCTTTTTGGTAATTATTGTAGTACGGCACCTACTATTTAGGGTACCCCAAAAGGGACCCCTAAACCCCTAAACCCTAAAACCCGTAAACCGAGTGTGAGAGCATAAACCCCTGAACCCTACACCCCTGAACCCAAAACTACCCATGTGTTTCAACCTCCACAGTCTGACACTGTTGCGTCAGGCTTTTGGGATGTGATGTCTGAGAAAGTCGTGTCAGCAGGTACCCAGAGACTCCAAAGTCCCTATTTAAGGAATGTACCTGAGGATCCAATATGGTTTAAGGATTAGGGTTTAGGGTTTAGGGTATATTCCTTAATTAAGGGATATTGGAGTCTCTGGGTACTTTCAGACGAAACAGATCGCAAGCAGGTTCCCTTGGAAAACCCGAAACCTACTCTGACTTATCGCTTGCATCCGCGCCTGCTTTGCGAGTGTGCTTGTCGAATCACTAAACCCAGAATTACTGTAACATAGGGGCCTAAATATCTACCTAAACTAGTCTGGGGTTCCTGATCATAATTATAGGCTACTGGGCCGAAACCCCATTCTAGCTATGAAGGCCGCACGTTACAGTTCCGGGTCAAAGCAGCCTCAATCTGTGTCTCGTGGCTCCACTGTCAATTTTCCGGGTTTAGGAAACACTTGCTGTTGTCACTCGCCGCATCAGCAGTCATCTGATAGTTGTTGGCGGCAGCATTAGCATAGAATTTGGTCGTACGGCGTAAGCGGCTCTAAAGCTTAACACACTGCAGATCGTGTTTTTCAGCGCGCGCAGCTGACATTTCGAGAGGCAAGAAGACCTTGAATACCTCTGAATCCCAAACCGACCCTGATCATGGTGGCCCCTAAAAAACCCTTAAGGACATGTGAGGGACCCCTAAACTTTTGAAGGATCTCTTCGACAACCAATCCCTCAGGGCCCATGTACCCAAGTAGTATATACATTGGCCTTAAAGTAGTCCCTGTATAGGTACTTTCCCCAAGGACCAAAGGACCCAACAATTAGGTACTCGGTTTTAGGATAGTAGTTATGTAGGTTTGGATTTTGGAGAGTATATGGTTATTAGGTACATGGACCCTTGAAGTTTGGGGCCGAAGCATACAGTATTTGGATACATGGACCCTTAATAAACCCTTGTACCAGTAACCTTAAAGGAACCCTTAAATCTATTTGGGTACATGGACCCTTAAGCCCTAAACCCAAATACTAGCACCGTTCTAGTACCCTTAAAGCCGTAAAGGAGCTCTATTTGGGTACACGGACCCTCAAACCCTAAACCCTAATACACCCTTAAAGGAACCCTTAAAGGAGCTCTATTTGGGTACGTGGACCCTTAAACCCTAAACCCGAAACCTAGCACCCTTATGGTACCCTTAAAGCCTTAAAGGAGCTCTATTTGGGTACACGGACCCTTACACCCAAAACCCTAATACACCCTTAAAGGAACCATTAAAGGAGCTCTATTTGGGCATACGTTAAACCCAATACACGCTTAAAGGAAGCCGTGAAAGGAGCTCTATTTGGGTGCATGATACCTTAAACCCTAAACCCTAATACACCCTTAAAGGAAGCCCTGAATTTGCGTGCATGATACCCTTACCTTAACCCCACGTAACCTACCTTTTTAAGGACTTATATAAAAAAATCATATTAGGGAACCCTAAAAAGGTAGGTTCCTTAGGGTCCAGGTAGGAAATGCTCGGCCTTTTATACTTGGAGGGTCGGGGGACTTAGTAACTGGGGTTATTTTCGGGACTTATAAGTACCATAACCCCAATTAGAGTCCCCTTTTAGGGTACTTATAAGTCTACTTACTGCCTACTTACTAAGTCCCGCGACCCTCCAAGTAGCCAAGGCTCGGCCTGCGAGACTTTACGGACAGTCACTCTTTGTCTGCAGAGCGCGCCATGGATGCCATGGATTCCGCGGAGGACTTTGCTTTAAAAAGGTTTAAATGCAGGGCTTAAATAATTACCAAAATTATTGCTAGGGTCCCTTATTATAGTTATAGTATAATATGCACCAAAACCCTATTCCAGCCGTAAAGGCCCCTAGAGTGGGCTCGGGGTTTTAAGTTTAGAGTGGTTAGGGTTAGAATTGTGGGATTTAGTCTAGGCTTGCGTGATCATTCCGCAGGGCCGAAGACGACGATTTAGAGCGCCTGGCTCCCACAGCAAAACCCCTCCAAACCTAAACCCAATGCCCTATACCCTTACCTTCCACTGCTCCGAAGCAACCTCGGTTGTGGGCATTGACCTTTGGTATGGGAGAGGGGGAAACCCTAAACTTAAAACCTTCCCAGAGACTCCACCATCCGAAGGCTTTTTCTTATATCATATTAGAGATCCTACTATACTTTAAAGTATATTCCTTAATTACGGGATATTGGAGTCTCTGGGGACCTCAGAGCAGCCCCCAACAGAATTTGGAGAAGGATTTGCAATTTTCTTTCTCCTGGCCAATATCTGCTGCAGAGAGTCCCGTGGCCGATAAGAAGGCAGAGAGCCCAACGCTTCTGTAACTCGTGTTCAGGATCCTTCTATAATTCAAGGTATGTTATTGAGTTACAAGGGGTGCTGGACACTTTGGCAAGCAGATGCTCCCGATGTGCAGTTTAGAAAAGGAAAAGGTCCAACACAGCTATTTATGGTTACGGAAGAGACTAATGGTGTACATATTCCGCATCTTTGAGATGTATCTGTCCGACCCAGGGACTTAAACCCCAAACTTAAACTAGTATCTGGTGCCGGGCTTGTTGCAGAATTGTTGAACTTGCTGCAGTATGTGCAGTTCCCCAGAGACATAGCAGAGGCAACCTTGCTGCACCTGTCTCTCAGGATACATAGGGATGCTGCCTTCCTAACCCTGCAATGCTAACACCTCAAACCCTAACAAAAAAGAAGGATCCCACCGCGAAGACCCCAAGGTTTGGGTTCACTGCCCCGTGCTCCACCCCGAATCCTCGAATTCTGAAACTATACCCTAAAACGATTTGGGTTTATGCGAACCCCTTTCCAGACTTGTGATGCGGCCGGGAAGACAACGCATGCTGCGAAGTGGACTTTCGGTATTATCAATATGAGTACCAGAAAACAGGGGACCTTCATATAGTACGACCTCCTGCCGAACAGAGCAGACTTTGTGAGTAGGGTGTAAGTTGTAAGTAGGGTCGGGTACTCATATCTTCGATTTGTTCGCAACTTCTTAAGCTAAACCCTACCAAACCCTGAACCCTAAGTCTCAGGGATGTTGCAGACGGAAAAAGGAGCCTAAAAAAAAGACTAAGTCCCAGCCCCTTGCTCCTCGGAATCCTTTGGAGACCTTTGATGCTTCTTAGTGGCTGAGTGGATACACTTTACACGTTTTGGGGTAATATTTCCCACTGTAAAGCGACAAGTCTACCCTTTTGGGGATAATATTACCCACTATAAAACGAAAAGTCTACACAATTTGGGATAATATTACCCACTATAAAACGAAACGTGTACACTTCCTGGGGCTTATGAACTCAGCAACTAAGTATAGGAGACCTTTGAGGTTTGAGGGCCGACGTCGCTTGCAGCATCCGCTCGGATGCCGTAGCTATCACCTCCTCGGCCAACACGGACCAGGACTTGGGTTCTAGGGAAAGTTCCAGTTCACTGTCCTTCGTCTTCTGGTGATGGTATTAGGGTTTAGGGTTTAGGGTATATGATGGCGATAATGATGACTAGTGGTTGTGGTGCTGGTGCGGGCGGTGGCGGTCAGTGGCAGTGGCGTCATAGTAGTAGTCGTCGTTGTCGTCGTCGTAGTAGTAGCAGCAGCAGGTTTAACATCAACGGTTTGATGATAATTGCTGTCAGGTGTGGTTTGAACAGACACACGCACACACAGAGCCACACATGCGCGTGAAGCGTTTTCCGGCGTTGCATTTTGTCGACCAGCTCTTTGTTGTTTGGCTATAGAAGCAGCATTGGGCTTGACGCAGAGGGTAGTCGTGTTCAGAATGGGCGCGCTGAGCTGTCCTCAATGTACATCCTGAGTCTTGGATCGCAAACCTCAAACCCCAAACCATAAACTATCCTCAAGCTCTATGCCCCAAGACCTCAAGGACTGTCCTGTGTCAGGAGTGGCCCATTGCAGGTCCCGTAAAAAAGCAGGCGTACCTGGATCTAGACATGGAGGCGCAGGGGCTGCATCGGAGCAGTTGGGGAAAGGATTTCCTTTCACTGATGGGGATACCGTGAACCAGATTATAAACCTCCTCTCATTGTCTGTAAAACATGAGTTTCGTGGAATGCTCTCAGCAATTGCAAAACCCGACGCCCACGCTTGAAAGTAACAGAGTCTCTGAAAGAAGGTAGCGATAAGCCTTCTCACTTTGTTAGGCATCTCCCATGCTTTGATTAATCAATAGCCAAGTTCAGGACGTATAGAGTTTAGGGATACGTTGGGTTTGCGCATGTGGGGTCAAGTTGCAGACGATAGCTAAAGTTTGGTTCAGGGTTTGCCGCTTACGCGAATAGCTGACCGCTCGAGGCAGGGTCGCCGAACATTGCCATGTAGCTTGGCAAGGCTTGCCAGATACAAAAGCAACCTTAATCCGAAAAACCTCAACCTGAAATCTCATAAAACTTGCCCTGACCAGAACTCTGCCCAACGATTCTTCTCGGCCAATATTACGGTAGCGTGCGTGACCATAACATCCGACTCAGCCCCAAGCTCATGTTAAGGAATGTCCAAGGGAGAGGGGCTGTCACTCTGATGTAAGGTATATATACTCCTTAGTTCAGGAGCCTATGAAAGCCCAGAAAGCCATACAAACCTTGGCAGTTGCTATGACCGTGAAAAGGATGTATGCCTTGCGCAAGATCCGTTGGGAAGGGAATAGGCCTGAGACTACTAGCAGCCAAGCCTTTCCTGAAGAGGTGGAAGTCATAGTAAACAATGCATCCTTCTCTGCCCCCCTGAACCCTAACTCAGTAGGAAAAGCAGCCCTAAACCCTAAACCCTGTATAAACCCCTAAACCCTATATAAACCCCTAAATCCTAAACCCTATATAAACCCTTAAACCATAAACCCCTAAACCCCTAAACTTTAAGCCCTCCTGAAGTCCTACCAGGTATTCCGACTGTAGCACGGAGGAAAATGGCCGCCAACAAAAAAACAGCCTCCTGAAGAGGTGAAAGTCATAGCTAGCGCCTCGGCCTCGGTCACCTTCGTGGCGGGCCTTTCGCTCGACGACTTCTTTCCCTCGCCTCACACGTTGCAGCTGCTGCAGCAGGTGGGGGGTATCTTATATCTTAGATAGTGAACAGGGGAACTTTAAACTTTTTAGCCTTATATATTAGCTCTATCTTAGAAAGTTTGAACTTTTTGGGGCCCGGTTGTTGAAGAAGAGAGATATATGCTACAACCATATGAAGGAACCCCGACAAAAAATATTAAGGAACCCACACCCCCCCCAAAAAAAAAACTGTATAGAGGTCACTATTTAGGCTCCTATATTATGCTGCCCTATGGCTGTCGGCAAGGACGGCAAGGAAGCGCTTTGACTTAGGGTTTAGGGCCTAGCCCAGGGTTGTAAGTTATTTCCGGCCAGAGCTCAAGCTAGGTATAAGTAAAGCTTTGATATACTAGAAGGCCGGTATGACTTCTTGCTGGTCCCATCGTAAGAATCAATGACATTGCTAAGGCTTTCGGAATCTGGGCCTGGCTAGGGCCCGCCTCATAGTACGACATACGCACAGAAACCCCAATTTGTTCTTCACTCAAACTCAAACCTGTATCACAGCAGGTTATTCAGGGGGGCAAGGGCCCAACCCACGAATCAAGCACATCTGACCCTTGTGATGTTTCTGGGATGCACTACTCGACAGCTCAAGTTCTTGCTGCCCTTTCTGCCTTATGCCCCTGTAAAATGCTTTATGTAGCCCTAAGTGCAGAAGTCTTTGGTACCACTGGCGAAAAACTCTGACTCATAGAGAAGAGAGCAGCAGGTATGCGATGAAGCTCAGCGAAGTTTCGATAGCGATGGAAGCATTCCGAACAAGGCTTGGGATAGGGCTCCATGTTTGGATTCAAGGTTCCCCGTTCAGAACTCAGCATTCAGGGATATCGTAAGAACTGCTGGAAGCAATCATGCTTGTTTGCCCTGGGTTGGTTTTTTTCGAGGATCCAAATAGCGATCTCGACTAGAAACTGCTCGATCCGGAGCTGCTGAGCCCTGAGCCCTAACTAAATCCCTAAAACCTAAACCCTAAAATCCTAAAACCCCAAACCCTTGAAAGGCACCCCAAAGCCCTCCGAAAGGAGCTCCTTTCGCAGGATCACAGAAATTTCGGCGAAGACTTGCTCGCCGTCTCCAGCTTCAGAACTGACCAAAAAGTAGCTCTGCTTAGTTGCAACTTCAAGAAAGAATAGAAAGATCCAGGTTCCAGGTGCAAATGCAAATTATCAAGACAGCTCTTACACACAATCATTGCCAGAACCATAGTGATGAAGGACCCCATTGCGATGGCTAAGGTTTTGAAGAGTCTCAGTACTGAGTATGCTGTGTGGTGCTGTTGCTTCTGCTACTGCTAGCGCTGCTCCTCCTCCTCGTCCTCCACCCTAAACCCTAAACCCTAAATCCGCACTTCTTCCACTACTTCTACTTCTACTACTACTACTCCTCCTCCTCCTGCTGCTGTTCTGCTGCTGCTCTACTACAGCTACTACTGCCGCTACGACTACGTCAACGATTACTGCTACTGCTTCAGCGATGGAGAGTATTTTAGCTAGTCTTCAAGTCTCTCATCCCATTCTTTGTGTAGAGTGGATGTTGCCCTGCTGCAAAAAGGTCTTCAACTTCGAAGACCTTCCTGTGCAATGGACGCCGGCGAAATGCGGCACCCTCGTCGGTGCCTTTCAAGTGGTCCGCACTCGCTTCGGTGGTTTAGGACCCCTCTGAGAGAAGTTGACGGTTTCGAGTCCATGATTTCGGTTGAGCTACAGGGCTCGATTGACGCTTTTGTATGTTGTACTCTGGCCCAGATCTGCTTGGTCCTTAAAGTCGGGTGCATGTTTGAGTCAGCACCGAACGACTGACGTACCTTCTTGACGACCCAGACTCTCTCGAAATTCATCCATTTCTTGACGACCCAGACTCTCTCGAAATTCATCCATCTCTTGGCGAGCCCGACTCTCTCGAAATTCATCCGTTATGTAGCCAGAGTCGGACAGAGAGCCTTGGATATGGGCTACATTAAATCAAACCCTAAACCCTAAACCGAATCAAATCGTACTCAGCCGAGAACAGGGTATGCGGCTTCAAAGGGCGCCCCTGAAGCACTCGGCAGGCCCGAGGGCAGCCCAAACAAGGGATCTAAGCGAATGAGGGTTTAGGGTTTAGGGAGCAGGGCTATGGGGATATTAGCTAGCCTGACCAGTTGTTCAGCTGTTCAGGCAAGATGATCACGAAACACTTCCGACCAAACTTCTTGTTGTATCCTGTACTTGTAGCTCCGGAAAACCTGTGGTGCAAGGGGTTACCTGAAGGATGTGAGGCACTCTACATGGGTGCCCTCCGTATCGGATCTCGCCGCTATAACTTAGATAGTGAACGGGGGAGCTTTAAGCTTGTTGGTCTTATATATTAGCTCTATCTTAGAAGGTTTGAACTTTTTGGGGCCCGGTTGTTGAAGAAGAGAGATAAGCACTGAACCTTATTCTTAACATGTAGCGCAGAGAAAGAAGCCGGTGCAAGAACCAAGGAAAACTTCTTGCCGTTCTTGAAACATTGGGGCCCGGAATAGCTTCAAAAGGCAGTGGTCTGACGAAGGCCAACTCTTCGTTTTGGAGCGGGTCCATGTTAGCCTCATTGATGACAATGAGGTCGGATTCTGCAGTACTGACTACGAATCCCGTACAGTCTCTGAGTGTGCGATCACTTTCCAAACCCCTCCATTCTACTCATTCAGTCGGTCTGACCTATAAATGCCCTGAAGCAACCCTTATAAACCTCAACTCCTTCCACTGGCGAGGAATACTCCTGGCTTTCGACGAGCCGGATTGGTCTCAGTCACCCCACCGGCACAAGCGAGCTTCCGGTAGATCAACTTCGTGCCCTGGATGTGTTAGGGGTTATGTGGGTAGTTGTCAAAATTAGGGTCCCTTTTTGGGTCCTTATTATAATACGGCACCTTATATTTAGGGTTCTGGGTATGAGGTGCAATATGGACGTGTCAGGGGCTATGTGAGGATTTCGGATGTGAGGTGTAATATGGAAGCCTGAATACTGACGAGTACTGCTTTTTTCAAGCCAAGAAAAGGAGGAGTGAGCTACGCCTTGCATCTCGATTGGGATGTTTAGTAGGTCAGGGACCGCTAGTATCGACCCAAGAGGGCCTGATCCATGTGGCTACTCCCTTTAATATAAGGATCGGGATAATTAGCCCGGGTATTCCCTTCATAATCCCTTTAACCTATTGTATGATATACGCCAAGATTCTATTCCTAATGATGAACTTAAGCTTCTTTTGCTTGGGACCTTGACTGTTGTAAGAACTCGCAGCGACACTCAAGCAGCCTCTCGCCCCAAACTCAAAGCACTCCTATTTGATGTTATGAAGTTTGTGAATATAGACAATATTGATCATAAGCTTTTGATATCCAGGGTTGGGGTTTGGGATTCAGCGATTCAGGGGTTCAGGGTTTAGAGGTTATAGTCAGCTGGCACAAACGGGTTTGGGGGATTTGGGGGCACACACCACTTAAGCAAACCCTTAGCATGTGAACCCACAAATTGGCAACAGCCCTTGGCCTGCCAGCATCTCAGTAGTTTGTTGTCAGCTGCTCCAGAGTGGGAATAGGTCGATGGTAGTAGTTGCTGCCTGCGGCAGGATACACCCTAAACCCTTAAGCCCCAAGCCCCTTTGAAGTGCTGGCTTCTGATGAGATCTTATTGGCTGCCAGTGCACGTGTGAGACTCGGAAACCGCAGACCGCGATATCTAACCCTAAACCCGACATTGAAAGTCCGAACAGGCCCTCACACCGACTGCCGACCTGGTGATAGATGTTCAAGCCTATTCTACAGCCTACCCTGAATCTTTTCCTCGATCGAACCACCAGCCAAATCCTTCCAACCAGGACCCCTGAATTCTCACCAGACCCCACATTCCAGATTCAATAGTCCTAAACTGTATGTTAGTCTAGACCTCAAACCCTACAAGGAATTCTCAATAACCCCTAATTCGTGAACCCCCTCCCATGTGTGTGGATTGTAGCCGGAATCCTAGTACTACGGGTCTTGAAACTAGAGAGGCTTGTTAATCAAGGTTCCACATGAGGGACTCGCAAAAAACAAGCTCTGGAGCCTCTAAACCTTAAACCCCAAACCGCAGGGCTGTTAACGTTTTGGGAGGGCTAACGTGCCTGTATCCCCACCCGGCCAATGTGCTGTTTGCAGCGTACCGGGAACCTCGCCCAGGCATGTCTGAGTGTGAGTGCTGAAAGCCCAAACCCTCCCAAAACCCTAAACCCAACACCCCCCCAACCCCTAAAACCCAAACCTTAAACCCCAAACTGCCAAACCCTGAACCCCAACCCCGAACCCCCAAAGCCTAAACCCCAAACCCAAAACCCCCCAAAACATCCAAGCCCCAAGCCCGAAATCCTGGCCTTCTGCTCACCTCGAGGTCCCGGGCTTCCAGAAAGCATCGATCGACGCCACTGAGCCTAAGGGAGACTACAGTGCAGGGTTCCTTGTAGGGTTCCATGCACAAATCCCTCCCTACTGCAGGCAATGTTAAAACTTATCGCTTGCCGAGAGACTCCGAAGATCATTCTGGAACATCAGGGGGAAGTTGTCAAAGTTTGTAGCTTACATCTGTGCCTTTGAGAGACGTCTCCTTTGTGTAGCCTCCACTTACAGGGGGGACTCTAGAATTCGGGATGATCTTTCTTGGGGCTGAGAAATTAGGGCTTAGGAGGTGCAGCGTTTAGACTTTCGGGCGTTCTTGAATCTGGGCTTGGAAGGTCTCGGGGGCTCGGTGTCTACCTGATCCCCGAAGAACCTACCGTTTTAAGGACTTACATTCAGGGCAGTCTATCATGAAGCTGGCTTGGTGTCCGGAATCTGGGCCTGCAAACTGGGCCTAACGGTCAATGTTGGTTGTTCCCGGCTCCCCCTCAATGAGTGCACACACCGGCTGGACGCACACCTGGACAACAATGCTAAAGGCAGTGAACATGGTTATCATCGAGCCCCCCCTCACCCGAATTAGCATTGTAAAACCCAAACGGGGTGTAGGGTCCCACGTAGAGAAGGGCTGGGGCCCACGGGGTCCCACCGAACACGCTTTGGGTCCCACCGTAGAGAAGAGCTCGGACCCACCGGGTCCCACCAAGTACGTATCGGGACACGCGCAAGGCTGGTGGTTTTGAGGGCGCGATTTTGGGTCCAGAAAATGCTCTTGCTTCCGGCTTCAGCATAGCGTGCCTCCACAATATATCAAAAAAATTGAGGAACCCTAAAAAGGGTAGGTTTCTCAGGGTGGGGCTGGCTTCAAGGTTTACAAAAACGATTTCTTCGCCTTAGACCTTGATACCCCCCCCCCCCCCTACCGGCACTGCGGGCTTAATCCGGCGAGGTTTCGGTAGCGGGCACGCGAAGATGGAAGGCAGCATTCAGAACGATTTCTATGATGCCCGGTAGTACCCTGATTCCCTTTTTGCCCTGGTTCCGTATAAAGTCACCAATACCAAAAAGGGAGCCCTTTTTATTCCTAGGTTACTGGGCATCCTAGATTTCCTTCAAGATACGAGCCATGTATTGTTCAATGAATCAAACGCTTTCCAGCATTGCCCTGATTGGTAGCTGATGAGTGAACTGAAGCCGGGAATCGAAACAACGGAAGCCCCTAACATTTGCCTCATCACTTTTGCCTGCTTCTTGCCGCTAACGACATCGCAATTCCAGAGCTTAAAGCCATCATTTCTATCTACTGTAGGGGCCTTAATTATCAGAACAGGGTTTTGGGGCCCACTATACTATAGCTATAATAAGGAACCCCAAAAACCCTATTCCAATTATTGAGGGCCCCTACAAAAAAGGGTTTAGGAGTTCTGGGTTTCAAAGCCGGAGAGATCCTCGGAATGCAGAACCCCTTGAACCCGAGCAATTGAGGGCCTCTGCCCTAAACCCTGACCTAGTAGTAGAGTAGGTGGGTAGTATAGTCCCTAAACCCAAAACCCTAAACCCTAATCCCCATATACAACACAAGTACAGTAGGCTGAAGTCTAAGTGAGTCGAACAAGGGACGCTTAGAAAAAAACAAAAGAAGCTCTGACCCTAAACCGTAAAGCCTGCACCGTTTGGAGGTTCATGGGTAGTTATAACTGGGTTTATAAGTATGGTAACCATATTAGGGGACTTATAACCCCACTTATAACTACCCATGAACCTCCAAGTAGAGCCTAGAGCCTTTTGTCCCGAAGCCCTCCCAAAAAGCCAAGAGCCGTAAGCCCGGCGACGAAGCTACTGCCAGTTCGGAAAGGGCGATTACAAGAGCCAAAAGGCCTGGGTTAAATAAAGCCCAGACCCTGAAGATCCCTTACCTGGACCCTAAGGAACCTGCCTGTTTTAGGGTTCGCTGATATGATTTCTTTATATATGTCCTTAAAAGGTAGGTATTTGGGGGTTAAGGTAAAGCTTACAGACCCTAAATGTTCCATGTGAGTGCTGAAACCCTCCCAAAAAGCCCTAAGACGTAGACCCTGGGTAGCCTTTGACTGCCGTTGGTGCCCAAAGGCATCCAGCCGGCACGCCCGGGCGAACTCGCCAGAGCCAGAGTTCGTTGACACCCTTATGAGGCTATACGGGTTCCTTTAAGGGTTCCTTTAAAGGGATTCTATAAGGGTCTAGGGTTTATAGGGCCTGCTTGGAGGTTCATGGATAGTTATAAGTGGTGTTATAAGTCCCCTAATATGGGTTATAACTACAGTTTCCTTACTTATAACCCCACTTATAACTGCCCATGAACCTCCAAGTAGGGTTCCTTTAAGTGTCCCACAAGAGTCTGTATAGGTCCTGCAGGAGAGTTCTGTAGGGGTCTGTTTGGGGTCCTGGAGGTCTTGAAGAGTTTGATGATGCGGGTCTCTATAGCGGGGGTTCCTGTAGCATTTTTTTCAGAAAGGATCCTTAAAGCATTCCTTAAAGGGTTCTCTAAAGGGTTTGTAACGTGCTTTAAGAGTTCTATGAGGCTCAGCTAGCATATCTGTAACGGGTTCTGTGAGGGTCCGTTTGGGCCCCTTAAGAGGTTTCTGTGTCTTAGGGTTTAGGGTTCTGCATTCCGCGTTGCCAGGCCCAAGCTTCACCCCCGAATGTTACTCCCCTCACGTGGGAGCTTCCGAAAATTAGGGGTGCCTTGTTTGGGGGTCCTTATAACAAGGATGCTACCATTCAGGGTACTATATTGGGGTCCTCTATTTTCGGAAACCCCCACGTGCCCACGATGGCTTGCCGCGCCCTTGCCCTACCGCTTAAATCCGCGCCATGTGAGGGAGAAGCCGTGTCACTGAACGCGGGGAGGCCCTCTACCTCAAGCAACTTTTTGCTTTGCCAGGTGGGCTCGGCGCGCGGGGCTTCGCCAGAGGCCCGTCGCACCAGAGTTTGCGAGCTTAAACCCGGACCTACCCAACTCTAGCGTTCTCACCTAAAACGCAGCCTTGAGCCCTGAACATTCCTACAAAATCCGAAGAGCCCTCGCTTCTAAAGCTCTGAGTTAGAAGCTGCCCCCACCCTGTAATAGTGGTATAATAGGAATATAATAGGGCCCCAATATAATATTAATATAATCCTTATGGTCACTATTACAGGGTGGGGGCAGCTTCTAAGCTCTGAGCCTCTGAGCCCCACAAGATGCGGGCCCTAGTCTTCTGAGTGGCCTGGAGAGTTCAATGTCGGAGTCGTTGAAGTGTAAGATCCTTAGGGTCCTGGGCTCTGAGTTCAGAGAACATCCTTGGTCCCACGGTTGATGATATAAATCCTGCATTACCGTAAGGACCCTAAACTATGGTAAGTATGGTATATTCCTTATTATGGGTAATGCATAGGAACCATAGGGTTTGGGTTTAGGGTTTTACCTAGATAGTGAACCTGGGAACTTTAATTAGGCTTTTGGCCTTATATACCAGCTCTATCTCAGAAAGTTTGAACTTTCTGCGCCCGGTTGTTGAAGAAGAGAGAATCCTCGGTCCGAGGAACCGTAGGGTTTGGGTTTAGGGTTTTCAGGTGTTTATGGGAGTTTCCGAATACTTAAACTAGGGGACCCTAGTATGGTACCCTAGATAGTAGGATCCTTTCATTATCACAACACCAAAATACGGTACTCCTAATTTTCGGAATTTCCCTTATCCTATCGAAAGCTATAATCTGAGGGGTGAGTGAGATCGTAGTAGGTAGATGGCTCATGTGAGGTTTTGCGCGCTTATTCATGGTTTTCGGTTTTCGGAGGCTCAGGCTTTGGCTGAGACTGGGCAGTGGTGAGTAAGTAGATGGGATAGATTACGGTTGTCGTTTTGAATTATCGGTACATCATTTCTGGTTATCCACTTGTCCTACTAATATAGGCTTCTTTTGATTACTATCAGGTCTCAAGACCTGGTAAGGAGGGTGTTTGGTTAATCTTACGGCTTGAGGTGCGGTGCCCTTAATCTAAAGCCCTAGAAGGCAAAAACCCTCGACCCTACACCCTATACCTTAAACCCAGATAGAAACTCTAAACCCTTAAACCCCGAACCCCTTAACACTGAACCTCCTAATCCTAAACCCTTAAGCCCTAACCCCTGGAACCTAGCCCCGAAATCCTAAGTTGTGAGCGCAGAAAACCTTGAAGCCTTAATCCCACAGGGTCCAAGTATCATTATGGTATATACTTAGACCCCCAATATACCCTATAAGCATATACTATAATGATACTTGGGCCCTTCGGGAATGGTGGCCTGAACCCCCTTTGACTGCCAGGCAATCTCTTCTTGGCTTTTTTTGGCACGCCCGGTCGGACACCTCACCAAGCAAGGGTTTCCTAGCAGTGCCAATTTTACTATTTTACGCTTTGCTTCACCGGTTCCGTTTAGAAGTCACTTCTAGGGATCCGTAACGATTTAGGAATTAGGGTTAAGGTTCGAGGTTCAACACATGGCTCTCAGGAATGCCCTTTGTCCCCTATTATTTTGAGGGTCTTCCTGTTAAGAATGAGCACCCATACTGTGAAAGGGATGCTAGAGGGCCTGGGGAACTAAAGATCCTTTCCCTTTAGGATTCGTTATCATTCGGGTGGTTGTCAAAATTAGGTTCCCTTCTGGGTCATTATGATAATACGGCGCCTATTACTTATTAGGGTACCCAAAAAGGGACCATAATTTTGACAGCCACCGTTATAGCATCAGGGTTTAGGGTTGTTCTGCGATCATATACTTCGAACCCTAATGAGGCCCGTATACTTCGGGGAAGCCCCGTCCTTTCGACGCTGACATGCAAGCGCAGCGTGCATGGAGCCGAACTACTCGGCAGTAGTTCTATGAGAGTTTCCAGAAAAATTAGGGGCACCCCTGCGATCGACATCCGTATGATTAGAGAGGCCCCTACGACAGGTTCCCGTAATTTCGAAAATCATCCCAGCATCAGCCTCGGCATCCAGGTTGCAAAGTAGGGTTATGCTAATACGTAGGAGACTTCCGGAAAGACAAAACCCCCGAGCTTAGAGCCTCCTGGTTCCGAGGTTTCAGAACGTCAGGATCCTAGCCGGTACTGGGGCCCCTCATTACTCGAAACTCCTTCGCAACAAGATGCCTGCATGGGCCGTCTTTTCGTAGTCCGGCTGTTTTCCGCGAGAGTGGCACAAACAAATCAAGGGGTTTGGGGGAGGTTGGAGCTGTTGAGGCGTCGGTTCAGGTGGTCGTTTCTATCGTTCTGCATTCCGAACTCCTGAACCGCACCCTAAACCCTAAACCCGCAAGCTTTACATGGTCTCCGGGATTGGCAAAACACTAGAACCACGCCTACGAGCAGCGAAGAACCGTCTCAACACCCCATGCTGGTATCGCTTTGTTCGGGGACTACAGTATCCATAGTAGTTCCTTTTTCGGAGTACCTTATGGGATTCTGGATACGAACCCCCAAAAAGAACTACAATGGAGCCTCTGCGTAACTACGTAATATTTGGTGCAAGAAAGCGAGCTATTTTGGACCGGGCTTATGTCTTAATCTGCAGTCGTGCAAGGCATCATTCCTGCTGCGACTCTGCAGCCAGGTGCTTTAAGCCGGTTTGTGCCAATCCGCATGTTTTTTCAAGCCGTTAGTTCGGTGCGTGACACGAAGTTGGATTGCTGCCACAAGCTGGAGGGAGTGACCACCAAACATTCCAAGTCTTTTATGAGCAGTTTTGAAACAATTGTATTGATTACATGGTATTATACATATAGCACTGTATTATACCCTGTTTTTATTCGGCTGAACTCTGACCATTTTGATCAGCCTACAACCTAAAACCCTAAGCTGTTTAGAGTACCTAGAATGCACGCCCCAAATCCTTGAACCCAAGGCTTCACACTTGAAGTGTCTTCTTCTACATGTACTTGGGATTACGAGGTTCAAGATGTAGAGTGTAGGATTTAGGGCTGTTGGGATCTAGGGTTGCAGGTGTACCGATGGGTTCAGCACCTATGAATCTATGATGTTCGAGGTTTTACCGCACTATCAGAGGGTTCTGAGTCATACAGTTTACTTTTGTACTTGGAGGTTAAGGGGTTGTTATAAGTGGGGTCATAAGTAAGGTAACTATGCTTGTACTCCATATTAACGTATAGCTACCCATGAACCTCCAAGTAGCCTTTGGCATACGGCTCAGGACTGGCCTTCGAGGTTCAATTGAAAGCCAGATATGGGGTCAAATCACCCCTGCATAGTTCTTCTTAGGTAGCCACTGGGGGAAGTTTAAACTTCTTGGCCTTATATGTTTGGTCTATCGGAGAAAGTTTAAACTTTTTTGGGCTGAGTTATTGAAGGAGAGAGTCTTGCTGTGAGAATGTTCTACATACTGCCCCTTGCCCTTCATCCCAGCGGCGGCAGGGCCAACCGAAACCAAAACCCGAGCACATTTCAAACAAGGGCCTAAATAACTAGCAATCCTTGTGTTGTTTTTTTTTTCTTTTTGCGGGGGGAGGGGGTTCTTGTTATAGTTCCAGCAATTTACCCCAAACCCTATTCTAATTATTCAGGCCCTTCTATTAGTCAGATGGTCTCTGCTCCCAGCACTTTAGCAGCCAGCTCCTGTATAGTGAACCCCAGAAAGTTGGAACATGGATTTAGGATGATTGGTGCGGGGATTCCCTATACTTTAGAAGGGGCCCCCACCCTGTAATAGTGGTATAATAGGAATATAGTGGGGCCCTAGTATAATCCTTATAGTCACTATTACAGGGTGGGGGCCCCTTCTAACCTATACTTTACTTTAGGGGTATGAGGATAATCCAACAGTAGAAGGAGGGACCTTTACTAAGGACCCCTAGGTATATACCCTTAATATAGCTGTTATTTACCCATTATATAGCCCATCATAGGGTAGGGGTCCCCATTAAGGGTCCCTCCTTTTCCCCTTTGAGATAATGATGTTCCAACTTTCTGGCTTCTCCTGTACGAAGGGCGGAGCCCTGTTTTGTTTCTCTGGTCGCCAACAGCGACGAAGGCCCAGAGAACCCAATACCCCCTTATTAAGGAATACCTAGGGACCTATGGGTCCTTTAAGGGATCCAGATCTATAGGCTTAGGGTTTAGGGGGTTCTAATACCCCTAAATAAGGAATATACCTTA